TTGCGACTCCTCACTGTCTTTGCAGCTGGGCTGCATCTCAGCTCGCACTTTCACGCACTCTCACACAGCGCAGTGCACTTTCACGCACTCTCACACAGCGCAGTTGCACTTTCACGCACTCTCACACAGCACAGTACTTCCACTCTGCTCCCTGAACCTGAGAGACACAGTTTTACTCCAAAAGGCGGTTACTGGAGTTGCTGGGAGTTGATCAGACTCCTCTTCTGCCTCCAGAGGCAGGCCTGAATTCGAACCTGAGTTCTTACCAGTCTTGATGGGTGGTGCTCCCCTTGCTGGTTCCTGCACCTTACGGGGTTCTGTTGTGCATACGAGACCCTCGACCCAACTTGCCAGGAGGACGAGTCCCTTCTCTGGGTCAAACTGTCCATTGGTGCCTGGTGGGATCACTTCTCCCAGTGGTCCAGGGGGTGCATCCCGGTGACAAGGGACGTGAAAAACCACTGTCTCCACAATCTTGGCAGAGGGCTCCAGAAATGTTTTGGGAAACTCAAACAGAGACAGGGGACACTGAAGAAGGAAGCAATGTTTTATTGTGCTGGCACAGACTCCATGGACTCGTGTCCAAAGGCTGAGCCCCAAGAACAAAGGGATCTCACCTTATATACCCTTGCAAGCAGGTAACAGAGGCAAGAAAACAAGGTTTAACCCATATATGGTTACATGCTATTCTGTAGGCTACTTCACCCTAGTGCTAAGTGCCCCTCTTCCCCTAGTGCCACGTGACCATCTTCACGTTTGGATTCTTTAGGTTTTATCTCTCTGCTATGCCATCCCTTCCCTCCTGCTACTTTATCAGAGCACAGGCCTGTCTGTTTCTCTTCTGGCCCTCATCCCTGCTACAATCCCACTGGTTTCCACCTCCTACCCAAGGGCAGCCACACTTCTTTCAACTCCATACTTTGGCCTTTCCCATTGTGGACACCCCATGTGTGGAGGTACATGGTGTGTTTGTGGTCTGGCTTCTGCTCACAGGTCCCATCCAGACCTGTCAAGACATTCAGATTGTTCTGGTTTGGAATTGTACTACATAAAGGAAGAACATTCTTGAACCGCCCTGCTTTCAGTTTCATCTAGCACTCAAGGTTATCAAACTGTTCAGTGTTGCCTAACCCTGCTAACTGCAGGTAAGTCCCTGGGCCTCTGGGCGACCCTTGCACATTGCCTTTACACAGCAGGTGTTTCATGCACATCCGGGGGATAAAAAGGAAAGCAGCTTCCTCTCCCTGGAGGTCTGACTGCAGGAATCTCCAGGGACAGTGGCCACCGGGTTAAGCCCAGGCCACAGAGCATGGATTTGCATGCATTTGACTAAGGACTCCAGCAACTGCCAGGCAAATATTATGGAAATGGGGACCTTGGGCTCTGGGAGAAGAGCAACCAGACTAAAAGCTCAATCTGCAGCCACCTGCCAACTGGCTCCCACCCACCCAGGATGTCCTATTTATAGCTGGCCACAGGTGACCTTGGCTCTCCCCTGACAGTCACCAGTGAGACATTCCTGGGGCTTCTCAAATGTCTCCAGTCACCCTCTCCCCAGGGTCCTGGGACTGGATGGTGCCGGATTCTGAGCGAAGCAGCCCCAGGCTCTGCAGACCCTCGCTGCCAGTGACCTGCAAGGACACCCCATTTCTGGAGAGTCTCAGCCATGGAAAGCCCCCAGGGAGGCACACTGTACTGAGGGGAACCAAGAGGGGACTCAGAACAGCTAATCCAGAGAGAGATGGGAGCCCACAACCAAATCCAGCTGCAGAAAGGGTCTCTGACAAACAGGGAAGTCTCTGTAGATTGCAAATTACAGCAGTGTAAGAATTGCACATGGCGTCTCCACGCCTCCCTTCTGTTCACTATCTGGGCTTCTGGTGCAGTGCTCTTGCCTGCCTGGCTGGGAAGGCCAAGAGCTTGAGCTGTGCTCCTGGCTGACTTGACCCCTGCCAGGTGGGCCTTGTTGCTTGAGGAGGGTCTTGGCAGGAATATGTCACACAATAGCCAGGTGTCTGTGGATGGCCAGGCTGCTTACATGTGAAATGAGGAGATTCACAGCTGAAGTCGGGTCCTACTGGGCAAGTAAGAGGACCTCCATTTGTGCCACTCTCCTCAGGTTTGCTTAGTCTCTCGTTCTTTGCTAAAGCATGTCAAACACTAATGTGACGCTTTTGAGGAGGTGTGATCCACACAGCAGCTCAGCTCTGTTCAACTTTGCATGTTCCCTTTCCACCTAGATGCAGTGCCTCCAGCCTGTCAAGGGGCCTCCCTGGGCCAGGAGGAGTTAGTGGTCCTGAAAGTGTGGTGGGGGTCATGACAGGAAGTACAATTCTGGCTGGCCTGGCTCGTATCCTTTTACAATGAACCAGGAGCAGCGCTGGCCTGTGCATCCCCGCAGCCATTACCACACTGGCAGGTCCCTCTATAACCAGAGGTGCATGTAGGGGTGGGCAGAGCAACCCCAGTCTCCCACCAAGCCGTCTTTCCTGATTCTGAGGCTGAAGAAAACAGTCTATGCCATTCCAGGTGCCGTCAGGGAGTCTGGTCTCCAGGATTTCGAAGACACCCCGGCTAGGGGACTCAGAGCAGAGAGCTGGATCCCCCTCTGCAGGAGGTCTGGCAGAAGCAGAGCCTGGGGATGAGACAGCTTATGTCTGTGCAGTGGAGCAGTAAAGGTGGGGGGGCTCCTGACCCTAGGAGCTGGGCCATGGAGAGGGAAATGAAGGAAGGTCTGGCTGTGTAGCCTGTTCTGGACACCTGGACGGAGGAACCCTGGAGAACAGTGGATAGGACAGGGGCAGGGCTACCCAGTCCCTCTGCTTCCTGGCCAGGGCTCTGAGCCAGCCTCTTCCCACGCGGTGGCAGGGGCTGGGTGGGAAGCAGGACTCTAAAGCCCAGAGCCCTGGTGGGGCTTGTTCACCTGCTGAGGGGCCAGGTAGGACTTTAGCAGACACTAGCAAGCAGTGGGCTGAGCCTTGACTTTGGGGTTTAAATCTGGGGTGGCTTCTCACCAACTCAGCCAAGTCACTCCACCCTTGGGCCTCATCATCTGTGAGGCTGGTCCATAATCCTTGCCCACAGGGAGGAACATCCACATCTCTACCCCTCCCTAGAGACTTTGCATGTGCTTCCCCTCCCCCACGGCCCAGGATCCCCTCTAACATGACTTTCTCTTTTTGCTCAATTGCCAAATTCTCTAACCACCCTTCTCAGGCTCCCTGCCCCATCCCCGCCTCACTTTCTTCTGTGGCACCAACACAGACGCCCTTTGAGTCTCCTGAGCCCATGGCCTGGACGCAGGGCTAGCGCCGGCTCCTAACCTGGCTCTTAGATCAGCACTGCACTCCCAGGTGCTGCTCACACGAATCCTGTTTTCTAACTGGTGATGGATTGTTTGCCACTAGTAATGGGAGCTGTCACAAGTTGCCGGGACCCCCAGCCAACGGGGCAGCTGTAGCTCTCTCTGGAATGCAGAGCAGGAAGGAGGACCAGGTCACTGGTGTGCCTGTGTCCTACTCCTGCTTCAGCCCGGGGAACCCCAGGACAGGACAGGACACTGCAAGCCACCACGGCGGCCCATGGAACCCAAGTCAGTCACTGTGCAGGTAACCTACGTATCGGGAGCTTCATGAAGCTCACTGCAGCCTCAGCCACCTGCAGCAGGAAAGGGATGTGTGGCAGGACAGCTCGCATGTCACCGTCACCGCCATGGGTTCCATTCATGTTTCACCTGCTCCACATTTGCCTCTTCCTCTCGGGAGGGAAGTCGGCGCTCAGCCTTGGCTGCAGTCGCCCTCTGTGGCTCTGTCTCTTTTCCTGTCTGTCTTTCTCTCACACTCTGTCTGTCTGTGTCTCTGTCTGTCTGTGTCTCTGTCTGTTTGGCTGCCTGTATCTCTCTCTCTTTCACTGTCTCTCTGCTCTGTCTCTGTCTCTTTCTATCTGTCTAGCTGTCTTTCGCTTATACTCTGCCTCTCTGTCCCTGTCTCTCTCTCTCTCTCGCTTTGCCCGTCTGTGTTTGTCTCTGTCTCTGGCTCTCTTTTTCTCTTACTGTCTCTGTCTCTAAGTGCCTATGTCTAAGACTATGTTTTTCTCCATCTCTCTCTAGCTCTCTTTCTCTCTCTTCCATCCCTGGGAAGCTCCTGCCACCCTGAGCCAGGCCCCTCCAAGGTTCTGGCATAGCCGGCATGACTGCAGCTTGGCACTAGAAGCCTTAGTTCCCTGGGGAATCTTACTGCACAGCCACACATTAGCATCCCTTGCTAGGGGGCCTTGACAGTGAAAGTGATAAAATTTGTCAGAATTAGCCATGTGCATCTGCCACAGACTCTTGGAATTTTAGGTGATTTTTTTTTTAGTATTAGTCAAACTGAAAGGCACAGTGAGTTTGGAAGATGTGATGGTCTTGTCTATAAAAAGAGTAGGGAGATCCCCGAAGCAGCGTTAAGTTCCTTTTTCAGGTGTCTTTTACCTGCTAGGTGCTTTTAGCAAATGTTACAACTAGGATCCCTCCAGGGATCAAGCAGGGGTGTACCTGGGGGAGAGGACTAAGCAGGAGACAGCAGGGACTGGAGTGACTGGGGTGACTGGTGACTGCCTGTCCTAGAGCGGCAGCCATGATGCAGGCCTGGGGAGTGAGACCTGATGAGCCAAGAGGAACAGGGGATCAGACTTTTAGTGTGAAATTAGCCAGCTTGAAAATGCCAGTCACTCATTTGATTAAAGAAGGGGTAAAGCAGTGGTGGCCAGGCCTGGCTGGCAGGTGGCCAGTGGTGCCCCTGTCCTCATGTACAGTTATTCCCTGCACTGCAGTATCAGTGGCAGTGGCAGGGCCAGATGTTGCTGCTCTGTTTAGAGATAAGGGAACAAACTTGGCACAGGGGGAGTGGTTGGGTCAAGGTGCTGTTTAGCAGAATGGGACTGTCGGGTGTCTGCATCCTGCCTGCTCCTCACATCCTGCAATGTCACCTTCCATCCAAGGGACCACCCAAGGTGGATGGTTACCAGTCAATGTGGCCCATGTGACCAAAGGCATTTAGACATGGACAGGGGCTGGAGGACCACTCTGGCCTCTCCTGGCCCTGAAGGTCGGGGAAGAGCCCTGGGAGAAGTAACAGCAGCTTCTGGGAGCTGGAAAGGCTGGCGATGGCTTCCTCCCTGGAGCCTCTGGGACTGGCCTCACCCACACCTTGGGGACCATGTTGGACTCTGATGCGAGCTGCTGAGGCTGTGCTACTCATCACAGCAGCACCACACTGAGTGAGCAGCATGGCAGGTGGGAACCTCGGCAACCCCACGCCAGAGCCACGGTTGTAGCTGGGATGTGAACCTGTTGCCTCACAGATAACCTGGGTCTTCGGGGACAGTCCTGACATCCATGTTTGGAGAAATATAGCCTTCTTCCTAGGGACACACAGGGGATCAGCTTATCAAACTCATTGCCAGCCAACAGCTGTCAAGTCCTCTGTGGACAGGACTCCTAGGTGTCTCCAAGGTCCTTCCCCACTCAGTGATAGGCCCCCAGTCATGAGCAGGTACTTGCCCTGCTTCCTGTGGTCAGGGAGGGTCATGTGACTGGTGTGAGGCTACTTGGGGTGCTCCTAGAGAGATGGAGTGGGCTGGGATGGAGGTGCCATCCTGGACCACGCAGACAGGCGTCACCTTGGGAAGGTGAAGCAGTGGGCCTGCCGGGAGGGAGGCTTCCATGAAAAGCATCTTTTTTTCTCCCCAGTACTGGGGATTGTACCTAGGACCTTGTGCTGGCTAGGCAAGTGCTCTCCTACTTGAACCAAACCCGTAGCCATTCTGTTTGTTTTTCAGACAGGATCTCCCTAGCTTTGCCCATTGTGGCCACAAACTTGAGATCCTCCTGCCTCTGTCTGGTATTACAAGCATGTGCCATCATGCCCAGCTATGAAAAGTGTATTTGAAACAGAAGGCGTGCTAGTGGCAGGCCTGTTCCCTTTATTATTTGGCTTCAAGTGACAGAAAACAAATGAAACAACCAAAATCCCCAACACCTTAAACAACAACAAAAAAGAGATAGGAATGTCTTTCTCCTCATATAATCTTCTTTCCTGTAGGTGAAGTCTGTGGGGCAGCATTCCAGGACTGGTAGGGAGGCTCCACAGAGTCGTTAGGATCTCAGGGCTTAACTTGTGGCTCTGGCATCTTCATGGTCCAAAACTGTTGCTTGATCGCCAGTCACTGTGTCTTCTTTTTTAACTATGAAGAAGATAGGAGCAAAGGAAGATGTCCTTTGCTTCTTTTAAGAAAATTTTCCGAAAACTTGTTCTCACTTCTCCATGTCACATGACCATACAGGGAAATATGGTCTTTTCCTGCGATGACCTGAAAACTGGGGATCTTACAACTGGAGCACAAGAGGGGAATGGACACGGGTGCAACCCAGTCTCTGCTGGTCTGCAAGGTCAGACCTGTTGGATGGCCTGACAATAGGCAGGAGCGTGTGTGACTGTGACATCAGTCATTCCACTTAAGGTAGCTAGCTGTGTGACAGGGGTCAAGCCACTCCACCCTCCAGACCCCTTTCTGCTCATTTTCAAAATAACTGATGGGAAGCCAGGCAGTGGTGGCTCATGTCTGCAATCCTAGCTACTTGGGAGGCTGAGATTAGGAGGAGATCAGCTTGAGGTCAGCTGGGCAGAGAGTTCTGGAGACCCCATTTCCAAAATCAGCAGAGAAAAATGGATTGGAGGTGTGGCTCAAGTGGTAGAGTGCCTGCTTTGTAAGTGTGAAGCCCTGAGTTCAAACCCCAGTCACACACATCTCACACACACACACACAAAACACACACACACACCCAACAGGAACGAGATGGTCTCTGTGCCTCTTTCCTCACATTCTCTGTGGCTCTGGGAAAGCTGTCATGTGTAGCTAGAGACCACTGCCCATGAACTGTGGTGACACTAGAGGCAGATGACTGCGTGTGGAGCCAGACTGGCCAGGTTCCATGTCCTGGGGGCCCTGGGACTGTCCTTCCAGCCTGAGTGAGGCAGGGACCCTCCTCCTGGCCAGACTCAGGCTGACTTTGGAAGGCAGCTACGTTCACTACATCAAAAATGTCGATGCTGTCTTTGGATGAGCCACCTGGAGCAAGGGCTACACTCATCGCAAACACCAAAGACACAAGCCACAGTTCCTGCTGCTGCTGTACAAGTGACAGAAACACAGCCCAGACACCACACACTTATCCAGCGTGGCTCTGGAGGTTGGAAGGGTGGCCCAGACCTCCCTGCACCAAAGGCGAGGTGTGTGCAGTGCTGTCCTTGTCCCGATGGAGATTCTGCAGAGACCACCTCCTACTCACTGGGGCAGAGACGGTTTAGGCAACCATAGGACTGATGCCATCTTTGAGGCAATTTTTCTGTCTGTCCCAGGCATGAACTCCAGGGATGTTGAGTGACATTCGGACACTTATTCACAAACAGAATTGTCATTTGTGACTTTGCTGCACACTGCCCGGGGTCTGGATGTTTTTAAGTTGCCCACGGGGCCAGCTGTGGGCTGAGTGGTGGGGACTTTGAGCCTGGAGTTGTCCAAGCTCCCCTGGCCCAGACTCGGCCATGGGCTCACTGCTGCTCCACGCAGCTCACCAAGGCCAGCCTGCTCCAGTCACCATGCTGAGGAGGTCTTTGGCCCCCTTGCATTCTGGTCCCTTTTCCCTGTTCCCTTCAGCAGGCCCCCATTGTCACCAGCCCCTCCTGCCCTGAAGCCCTCTGAGCTACCCAAGTCCCTAGTGCTCCAGGGACCACCTACCTGACCTCCACTTGGAGCTCGTGCATGAACTGGGTCCCGCTGGCCACCCTCAGTTGTTCCACACCACTTGTGGCTGTGGTGGCCTTGTCCTCACATACAGCCAATGTTGATAATGCTGGTAAAAACATTCAGAGACTTCACTCAGCACTTACTAAGTACGTAGGTCAGAGCTGAACCGATTTCTCTCTGGTTTCCTGACCTCAACAGCTGGAGAAGTGGCCTGTTTACAGACAGGGAAACTGAGGCACAGAGCAGTGACACAGCCCACTTCTTATGTGAGCTCAGAGGTGGTCACTAGTATGGTTTTCCTCACCAGTGGGAGGCAGTGTTTGGATCTGTGGCCAGGGTCCTTATTACGGCTTTGGTCTCAAATGTTCCCCAAAGGCCAGATGCTAAAGGTTAAAGGCTTGGTCCCTGGCTGTGGTTATTGGGAGGTGGTGGAACCTTTAGGAGGTGGGGCCTAGTGGGAGGAAGTGAAGTCACTGGAGGCGTGTCCTTGAGGGGGATATTGGACCTTGGCCCTTTCTTTCTTTTTCTCTCCTTTCTGGCCACCATGATATAAGCAGCTCTGCTCCACACACTCCCCATCAGGACATGCCACCTCAACACAGGCCAAACCCTCTGACACCTGAACCAAAGTAAGCCTTTCCCTCTCTTGGGTGTTTTGTCACAGTGATGGAATGCTGACTGACACACTCCTCTGATTTAGAGTCTGGGCTCTTTCCTCTGTCACCTGGATTTTAACCCCTCCTCCTATTTCTTTATTGGCACTCTGCTTTACATGAGTGTAGGACACATTTGGAGGTGGAGAGAGATGAGAAAAAGTCTACCCTTTCTTGCTGTGCCCAATAGATTGTCTCAAAAAGCCACGAGGCTGCACTGAGAGGGACGTTGCCTGTCAAGTCACGCTTGGAAAGGCCCATGCTGTGAGGTGTGCTACTTGGAAATATCACTTATTGTTAAGTTGCTTGTGCCATGGGCTGAGAAGTTAAATCCCCCATGGGTAAATGAAGTGCTGTTGGTTGAAAGAACAGCCTTGCATCTCCGCCCCTTCCTAAGTAAGGCTCAGAACACCAGGGGGACATGTGACAGGTGGAGCCAGGGGCGATCACATAGATACTGACTTGGATCAACCTTTTGGTTCACCATTAAATTCTATTTATTTATTTGTTTTGAGACAGGATCTCATTCTGTAGCCCAGGCTGGCCTTGAACTTGTGATCCTCCTGATGCAGCCTCCTGAGTGCTGGGATTGCAGGTGTGTTTCACCATACCTGACTTTAAACTCACTTAAAAAAATGAAATAGATGAAATAGGACAGTGCAACAATAAGCGGAAGACCCTATCTCGTGCCAAAAAAATAGGAGTAGAAGTGATCACATTAGTGACATGTCAGTAACGATGTCACTGCCAGGGAAATCTCATCCACGAGGCCAGGGAGACCCCTCCCTTTCCCCACATGGGGTGAGCACCCGTGGAGTAATGCAGCAAGCAGATTCAGACTCAAGTCCACCCTGGAGGACACGCCCTGTGTGCACCAGGACCAAGTAGGCAGTCCCCTTCTTTGGCAATAACCTGAACCTCTGTCCTCACCTATAAAACAAAGCTACCAGGAGGAAGGGGACAGCACCGTGTCCCCCCAGAGCTGTGGCATGGATTCAATGAGGTGACATCAGAGAGAGTTAGAAGACCACCATTCTCTGAGAAATGCTCAAAAGTGTTACCAGTGACAATGGTTATATTTATTATTACACCTGATGTACATCGATGCCAAGTGGCACTGGCTTTCCACTTACTGTATGCTTATTGTATTTAAAATGAGCACATTTGATTTGTGTGTGTGTGTGTCTGTGTCTGTTTCCTTCTGGTGCTGGGGATCAAACCCGGGCCTCACACATTCTAGGCACATTCTATCACTGAGCTAGCTGCATCCCCAGCCCTGATGGTATTCGATTTCTTTAAAAGTGAGTTGAAGGCAAATGTCAGAGCTGCTGGTCCCCAGATGTGGTCCAGACCCAGAAGTGGTATCAAGCCCCAGGCAGAGAACAACAGGGAGGTTAACTCAAGGAGGTAGCTTCTTTGCTTTTTTTTTTTTTTTTTTGGCAGGAGAACACTAGGGATTGAACCCAGGGTCTCATGCATGCTAGGCAAACACTCTTCCATGGAGCCCCACCCCAGGAGTGAGGCAGCTTTTATAACCCACAGCCTGGCATCTAGTAACTCAGTAGTGTGGATGCCGGTGTGGAGAGCCTGTGGCTCTGTGGAGAACAAGACTTTCACCTGGGACCCCACACTTGCTCCCGTGGGTCTCTGGCTGCTGCTCTTGTGGCAGTCTCCACCCCAAGCCTAGCTGGTATTTTTAGCACGCAGGCACCCTGCACAGCCCTGCATGCTCTGACCAAATTTAGCAATCTCGGGAGTCTTTGCTGGAAGGCGCAATGAATGGAAGGCCTCCAGCCCCCAGCCATGCACGGAGAGCTTCGGGCGTGTGTGCAGGGCTGTCTGCCGACGTGGGGAAGCCCGGGGATCACAGGCAGTGAGGGAAAGCGAGGTGCAGAAATGAGCGTGTGTGTCACATCCACATAAACCTCAAACCCATGTGTGCCCCAGTCCACATGCCAGGATGTGGGTTGGAAGGCATCTGACAGGCTGCTGATGGCGGGCGAGGGAGAGAGGGGAGTGCGGAGGTGGGTCACCCGAGGTCACCAAGGTCACCCTGGAGCCAGCTCTTCCTTTGCCCCTTTGCAAAACCTTTGTTTACTGTTTCCCTTGTTAAAACAAGTGTGTATTTCTTTTGCAATGGAAAACCTTTAGCATCAAAAAATTAAAAACAACCGAGATTGAAAAGTGTCAAAGGAGATGCTTATACAGAACTTCCCATTGACCTGTGCCTTCATGGGTCTGTGACAAGTGACACTTATGTGTTTATCAGCTGGACATCTACACCCTTCTTCCCTAATGCCATCAGATGTCCCCCACTGTGACACTGTGGCTCTACCTGCAGCTCCAGGGTGGGGGTGTGACCAGGGCTAGCCAATCAGACAACTGCATGCCCCTGGCACTGCATATTGCCGGGAGCCAGAGGCCGGTGTCTTCTAGGGTCCCGGGGAGATGGGTGCAGCAGGGAGCTGCTGGTGGCCTCGGTGGACACCAGGAGGGAAGCCCAGTCAGGAGGGCTGGGGAAGATGTAGATTCAGCATCCTATGGACCTACCGTGCCACTTCCTGTCACACAGGCTACTTTATTCTGGTGGCCTGGACCAGACTGAGGCAGGGCTGTCTCTCTACAATGGAAGAAGCAGAGGTGTGCGGCAGGGGCTCCCATCACAGAGGCTGATGGCCAAATTATCAGGAATTGTGCATGTTTGTGATTAAGTTCTCATTATTATGAGATCTCAATTATATAAACTTATAATTAAAGCAGTTATTTTAGAGATGAAGGTAATGCATCATTGTACAAACCTTTCTGTGTTCCTTGCCTCTGAGGTTTTCTCACTGCATTGTGTCCCTAGGAAAGAAATACTGACACACACCTCCTAACGAGGAGTCTGTGGAATCTGTGGGATGACAGAAGTCTCAGTTTGTGAGAGCATAAGCTGAGCGTGTACAACTATCATCACAGCTGCTCAGATGGCGTCCCCAAGGTGAAGCTTATGGCATGAACTACTGTGCTACTTAACACTCGCTCAGTGAGTGCTAGGTCAGCATGACAGCAGCCATGCGAGCATTTGCAAGAGGGAAACTGACAAATGCTGCCCATGAGCTCCCCCTGCCCCAAAACTGCTGTGACACACTTACCAGCAAGCCTGTGACAGGAGGCTGGTCACAGCACAGAAGGGGCAGGAGGGGCGAGTGAGCAGTGGGGAAAGGGTTTACTCACATTTTCTCTCTCTTGGTTTGCACAGCAGCCGGCATGGGCCCTCAGCTAATGTGCCCTGGTTGACTTGAAGAAATCAGGGTTCCAGAAGTCAATGGCTTTGCTAAAGGTCACCTCGTGGTGGGGCAGGGACCTGAGCACAGTTAGAATCCACTCCAGAACTTGAGGTCACCTTGGAGCCAGCTCTTCTTGAACAGCGTTGTCATCCTGTCCTGCAACAGCTGGGCAGCACTGCTCTGCATGAGCACCCCTAGCTCCCACACTTCTGTACCTGCACCCTTTGCTTAACGGTCTGATTTGAACACTCATTTCTCCACAGCTGGCACCCTGGTGTGATTTTTGGGAGGGTGTAGGCACAGAGTTTAGGAACACAGAGCCCCAAGTTGATGAGGGTCTGCCTTTTCCCACTGTCTGCTAATACTTAGTCATAGGAGAATGTCTTACTTGGGAGGAGCCTGGCTTGGACACTGGCACATCCCGGCCTGATGCTCCTTGGACATCAGTATCTAACCAGAAGCTGCAGGCACTCAAAGGGTTCCTAGAATTTCCCTGAGTGGAAAGGGTCAGTCCCCTCTGACCCACTGGTCTCTGAATGTGATGATGGCAGAGGTTTCTTCTATTATTTATTTAAGATTAATTAATAGTACAAGACAGTTTCATGTGGAAATTCCATAGATGTGAACAGCTTGTTTGAGGAAGTTCATCCCCTCTATGATATTCCCAAACCCCTCTCTCTTCCCTCCCTTTTAAAAGTAGTTTTTGGTGGGTTTCCCTATGTTATCTCCATATATATGTAAGTGATATCCTTTGATCCTCTTCACCCACTGGAGCCATCTCTACTTCCCTTTCCCCACCTATTGCCCCCACTGCCCCTGACAGTGGCCTCTTTCCACCAGAAGTTCCTTCTAAAATGACTGAAGTTAAACTGGGAAGTACCCAGTGGTGTGGGGAGGACTAGGGAGGTCCCTAGCTGAGGGACAGTTGTTGGGTGTGGGAGAATCTCTGATCCAGTCAAGTTTCCAAGAGAACCCCAGGCCTGCTGAGGGAGGGTGGCAGGGTGAGGGGAGCCCAGGCTCCCTGCCCCATCTTTGCTCTAGAGCACCCTACTGCCTGAGTTTTCACAGTCAGAAGGCAGCCTGCCTTGGAAAATGCCACCATCCGTGAAGCAGGAAGAAAGGGACAGCTTTCCTTCTTCTTTCTGAGCTAGAGGAGAACGTGGAGCTGTGTATGAGGAGGGTTTGTAGTTTCTGCTGTCACTTGCTACCATGGGATTGAGGCGTATCTGGATCTGTTCCCAAACAGATGAGGGCAAGTGCTTGTGCTAAGTCCCCTTTGGTTCAGGCCTTGGGGCTAGGTCAGCCTTGGGGAACAGGGACAAACTAACCTTTAAAAGACTGGAGATGCTGGGAGCATGTGTCATGAGGTCTCCTCGACTTGCCTGTGGACCAGCTGGATCCAACTGAGCTGCTATTCTGAAGAAAGGTTCAGCAGAGTGGGCTGGACATGTTCACAAACAGCCTGGGAAAATTGTCACACCAGGGCCCCAGGCAGCTGGGGTGTGTTGGCTAGGAATCACCATTGCCAACCCCTCCTTATTTAGACTGAGTAAAAGCCAAATGACAAGTGAGACAACATGAAAGGACCCTTAGAAAACATCAAAATGAGCCCATAAATCCATGGGAAGGACAATACATCATGTCCAGGCAAGGTCTATCTTGAATGCAAGGTTGGTTCAATCCCTCCACGTGCTCCACCAGCCCAGCAGACTGTAGACAAAGCCCACAGCTATCTTAAGGCAGAAAAAACACCTGGCAAACTGTGACATCCATTCACAGCAAACTCTCACCAAACTAGTGGCAGCAAGATGTCCTCAGCGCGTCAAAGTACACGCACGAAACCTATGGCCAGCCTTGTGCTTTCTGAGAGCACCCTGTGCTCTTCCCTGACTTGGGAACAAGGGAAAGTCAAGCACTGTCATTCTCCCCACCACCCCCACTCCATTCCAGAGTCTTGCTGGAGATCCTAGCAGGGCCACAAGGCAAGGCAAACAGCAACCAAAACAGAGACACATACCTTGGGAAGGGAAAAATAAAACTGCCTCTGCTTGTAGATGGCATGACTGCACACAAAGAAAACCCCAAGGAATCCACAAAGAAACTATCAGAACTAAGAGGTAAATCCAGCAAAACTGCAGGATACATGGTCCATCTATATCCATCACCTGTGTTTCTCCATGCTAGCACAGAACAACTGAGAATTAAAATCTCAAAAGCAGTACAGTTTATTATTTTACCGACCCCTGCCCCAATCCTGGAAAACTTTGATATAAATCCAAGATCAGCTTGCTGAATACTACAAAAGAATGAAGAAAGAAGTCAAAGGAAACGTAAATAAATGGGGGGATTAATTCCTGTGTTCATGGATGGGAACACTCAGCATTGTTAAAGTATAAAATTCTGCCCATACTGACCTAGAAATGCATCCCTCCAAAAGTCCCACCAATAATTTTTTTTTTGCACAAATCAGCAAAGAGGATTTGAGAAATTGTATGGAAAGGCAGAGAATCTAGAATAACTAAAATGATTTTGGAAAAGAACAATATTGGAAAATCTGAGTTACCTGATTGTGGTGTTTAGCACAAAGTTCCAGTAATCAAGGCCATGACAGAGGACAGGCTCCAAACAGAAAGGACCCCACATGGTCAGTGCATGTCAACCAGCTGCAAGGAAACCCAATGAGAAAGGATAGGGGCTTTCAATTGATGGTGCTGGATCAATAGGTCATCCATATGGGAAAAACAAATCTTGACTCACACCTCACACCATAAGTGAAATTTGACTCAAAATGGATCAGAATGAAGTGTAAAACATAAAATTATAAAACTAGTAGAAGGGAAAAATCTTCCTGACCTTAGGTTATGCAAGAATTTCTTAGATATGACACCAAAAGAATGGCTCATCAAAAAAAAAAAAAGGACAAATTTAGACGTCATCAAAATTTTTAAAAATCTCCTCTTGGGCTGGAGGAGTGGCTCAAAGCATCCTGCACGATTCTATAGCTGGATATTCCGAAAAAGACAAAACCATAGAGACAGGAACCGAACCAAGGTTGCCAGGAGCTGGGAGCTGGTGGGAGCTGGGGTGGGATTTGAGGGGAGAGGCCCTGCCTCTAGGTTGTTAGTGGGGGTGCAATGGCAGAGCCCACGGACACCTCAAAGGGAATTTCACAAAACATTTAAGTTAAAAATATGCAAGAAAATCTCCCTGTTGGAAAACAGTCCCAAGAATAATTCTGGTGCCCAGTCCCTTAGATAAAAAGCTGTGTTCTTTCTCACTAATTTCCATTGGGCCAATATTGGGCCAATATTTCCTTCTCTTGACTAATTTCTGATTCTTTTTGGATTTTTTTTACTGCCAGCACAGTTGTCCACCCAAACACCTGAAGTCATTGCCTGTCACAGTGAATGGCAGGAATGAGTTTTGGAAATCACTGGCTACTCTTATCCTGAAACGGGTCTGTCTTACTGGAAGTGGAAGTCCAGACAGGGGAGGACACAGTGGGTTTGCAGAGTCAAGGACTTTTCTCCAAGTGGAAGTCCAGACAGGGGAGGACACAGTGGGTTTGCAGAGTCAAGGACTTTTCTCCACTTTTCCCAGATGGTGGCTTTACTGTCCCTGTGCCCTGCAGTGCAGGATGTGAAACCCTGTGCAGCCAGATCAGCTTTGTCTCTGTCAGCTCATCTGCTGTCACCTGAGTGGTCAATGGCTGTGGTCACACTGTGGAAGAGGCCGGCAAATTCCACAACTCAGGTCACATGTCACACACAGGTCCTCTGTCTTCTTCTGTTTCTCTGGAACAAGGCCAGGTGACAGACCACTGGAAAGAGGCCACAGTGCCCTTTCGGGTAGAACCTCCCAGAATAAAATGTCAGGGGCCTGGCCAGCAAAGGGATCTTCAGTTTTCTCAGCATCTGTGGATGGTAGACGGGAGGGCAGGTGACCCTGGAGCAAATTCTTGAGTGCCACTCCAGATTCTCATTCTGTAGCCTTGGGGAAGGCAGGGATGTGTCCTGGAGACAATTCTTTTGACAAGCTCTCTGTAGGATCCTGACGCCCACAGAGGTGCATAGCTGTCAGTGTTGAGGCAGCTGGGACATCTGGCAAAAGAGCTGGGCTCACACCCCAGGATCGGCAGACGTGATGAAGGCCAGGGTGTCATGTGGCCAGATATAAGCAAAGCCATGGATTAGGAGGGTATGTTTGTCCACTGACACACAGAGTGACCAGTGACCAGCAGAGTGAGAGGTGCACACCCAAGTGAGGGACCCTGCGGCTCTGCCTAGGGTGCCCCTAGAGCAGGAAGCTCCCCAAAGGACTGGTGCTGCCAGGGGACCAAAATGAGCCCGATCAAAGCCAGATTCTCACCCTATCTCCTACCTCTGCCTAGCCCTGACCTGCCTTGAAGATGCTCTCCCCTGCGCCCACCCTTCCTGCAGAGGCAGCAGATCACCACCTGCAGCTCCCCGTGCTCCTGCACGCCTAAGAGTTCCTTACGAATTAACTGCACGGGCTGTGGCGTGTCTGTGGGATCTGCACATGCAGTAATCAGACAGAACCTGGGGAAAACACACTGTACTCAATCGCAGACCAGCTTCCTTTCATCATGGTTCCAAATCGCAGGACCTGAGGACCATAAAGAGTGGGGTTAGTGGCCACAGTCATTTTTAGGGAGACAGCTTGGTTTTGATGTGTGGGGCTGGACTGTCTGTCCTGGAGTCAATGTGCAGAGAGCCAACTGCTAAACTGGCCGTACCAATCATGACTCCCAAAGTCATCATCCAGCAGCTGAAGCCTCACTTCCCACTGCAAAAAAAAAAGGCTGTATCTGGATTGGCTTTTGGGGTTTTATGGACTCAAAGCCCTCAGTTGAGTCCATCCATTGGGGAAGGGTCCAACTTCCCCACCTCTGCTCTCAAATACAAGCTCTTTCTGGAGTTGGCTGCAGGGTGGGGGGCTCTAGAGCAAAAGCCCTGTTTTAAAGTGATCTTGAATTCCCAGGGCAGCCATGTTTAAATCTTTCTAGGCCAGCAAACCTGAGTATGCCTCGGTGAACTTTTTTTTTTTCTCCTGATTAAAATTATTTAACTGACAAAATGTTTGTTTTTTTTTTTTTAATCTAGTTGAAAACTCCTTGGATCTCTTTAAAACTATTTGTCACTACTCACAGATGTCCCAACACTGCAGCCTGTGTCCCCTTTCTCAGGGGAACGGCTTTGCTTGTGAGGGTAGTGGCTTTCTACTGGGTGTGTGGTTCAGGTTTCAAGAGCTCTAAGTGAAGGTGCTCCCAGGGGAAAGCAGAGAAAAAAAAAATCAGCTTTCTGCCAAATATAGTGACCGATGCTGACGATTTGAAGGCCCCTCTCCTCCCCTCCGGCCTGGCCCAGGGGTACAGGGGTACAGGCACATGCGCTAACCCTGTACCACACCTCCAGCCCTATTTCACTGCTTTTGATAGCTCAGGCCTTGGAGTATAATTAGTTATTATCAGGATGTGGCTTTTAATCAACGACCTTTGGACTCAGATGCAAACTGCCATGCTTCCACACCTTGTTAACAGGAAATGGCAGTGACAGCCAGTCATGTGTCCTTTCAGCTCTTTTGGATGCTCCTGAGAGAACAGCTGACTGAGGGCTACCCGCCTGCAGCCTTTCTGCGAGATCTCATGGTGGGCTTCCACACTGGGGCTCACTTAAGATTTTTACAGCACTTTTTGTCCGGGTGCTTGTGTAGAATCCCACCTGCACTGTGCAGGAGCAGAGGAGCAGAAGTATGGGCGTCTTCCGAAAGCCTGAATTGTGCAAACGCTACAGATGATTCACAGGGCCGAGCCTGGGATTCAGCAGCGATGCAGGGCTGCAATCTGCGCGAGAATCCTGCGTCTGCCTGATACACCCCATAAAAACAAACCTCGGGGAAAGGAAGGGGAAGTGTGCAACAGCGGCTTCGTGTGTCACCCGTTCTAAGGCTTTAACTGAACGTGTGTGAGTAGAAATAACACCTACGAAAGCCGGAGACTCATGAAAAGTGACACGTGTGGAGGCTACTCAGAAAGACGAGCAAAGGCTGCCAGGAAATTAAACGTGTACGCTGCAAGACTCACCGGGAACTAAGACGTTCTTGCCATTTCACAAAGGTGGGCGGTCAGCTTCATCAGGACATGCCACTGCACCCACCTCATCGCCGGCCGATCTCAGGACCAGAGACTGTTAACACACACCTGCCACCTCTCAGGTTTGTTTAAAAACATCCTTTATACAAGAGAGCTGTTGTCAAACAGTGCTGTCATTTAAATGCTGTCTCCTGGCAAAAGAGACTAAACTGGGCAAGAAACGCTCCTTCTTGTGGCCAAGAATAACTGTTGGCTCTCAGGACTGTCTTCCTGGGAAGCCTCTGGAAGGCAGGTCCCTCACAGAGCACCCTGACTCGGGGCCAGGGGACGCAGCCCCTCGGCCAGGTTCTGTAAGTCCTCTGCACCCTCTAAGGCCGTTTACCATTAAACACAGGCACCTTCTACTTCTCTGTTGTTATGGCACAAAGGGAACAAAATTGCCAGGACTCAGCTGTAACTGCACTCCAGAGAGTGAACCTGTGCCCACGTTCCGAAAGAAGGCGACGCCTGCCCTCTTGTGGGCCTCATGGGCACTGCCTCTATCCCAGAGCCAGATGCACCAGAAAGGGGTCAGCGTCCAGGTGTTGGTCAGGCTCCGGGCACAGAACAGAACCAATGTCGACCATGCCAGGTGAACCCTCTCTGTATCATCTCCTACACAGGGGTTACCCACGTGCAGTCTCTTGTAGAGACTGGTTTTATAGCGTTTGGAGACCAACTTGCATTTAAAAACCACGTTTCTTGTATTATCTATCCCTAAATTAAAAAAAAAATCAATTGCCATAAAGTACACATAAAATAAAATTTACCATCTTAGCCATTTCTGTTTGTCTGAGGCAGAGTCTCACTCTGTAGCAGAGGCTGGTCTGTATCCTCAGCCTCCACCTCCTGAGTGCTGCAGAGGCAAGGGTAGGTCAGGGAAATCGAGGCACAGGAAACAAGAGCCAGCCACTCAGGATCAGCGAGTGAGCACTGCATCAGAAATGGCTTGGATCACTCAGCACGACTTTCTTTGCTTTAAGCTTCACACTCCCTCACTGAGCTGGAGGGGACAGTTAAAAACGAGCAGCTCTCTCCCTCTGACCTGTCCTAGTCACCCAAAGGATTACTACACTGGAGGAATTGAGCAAGAATATCTTAGAGAAAGATGCAGATCCTTGATAAAATGACTCCTTTGATCACAAAAGCATTTGCAAAACAATATGTGTCTTTTTTATGGTTTTTACATTTACTCACATTGTTTGGGCCACCTCCCCCCCCCCAATATTTGTCTTAAGGACAGACATCTGTCTTGAAAGGAGCATCTAATGAAACATGACCTCTGTTTAAAGGGTCATCTTTGTCACAATGACTCGGGTTTGGTATATTGGCCAGACTCACTACCTTTGGGTCCAAGTGATGATGTCAGAACAGTGCAGAAGCAAGAGTGAGGTGTCCAGAACAAAGGAGCGCACTCGTTCCCAGGAGTTTAATCCAAACCCCCACCACTCTGTCACTACAAACTCCCCTGACAGCGGGAGCGCTCGGCATGTCCCTTCCTTTGCCCACGCCCGGGCCCACGCCCGCGCCCGCGCCCGGGTTCTGGGTGTGTGCCATCCTTTGCTTTGCTTTGCTAATACGCTTGCTTGTCTCTACTTCAATGTGTCCTAAGGTTCTTTTTGTTGTGACATCACAAACCTCTCCACTGGGGACCTACCTCGATCCTGGTGACACTGGGATTACAGGCCATTTCTGAGTTTTTTGGGATTACAGGCCATTTCCGAGCAGACAGTTCAGTGGTGTTAGGTGTCCTCACTACAGTGCAGCCGTCACCCCCATCCACCTCCAGGTTTTTTTTCTTTATTTGGCAGTACAGGACATTGAACTCAGGACCTTGTGCCATACCCCAATCTCTTCCACTTTCATTGTTTTTCAAACAGGGTCTCACCAAATTTACCTGGGCTGAGCACATACCCTCCTGTCTCTGCCTTCCACCCAGAACTCTTTTCATCTTGCAAAACTGAAACCCTGTCCCCATTAAATACCAACTCAATTCTTCCTCCTCCCAGACCCTTGCCACCACCATTCTATTTCCTGTCTCTGCATCTGACTCCTCCAAGGACCTTCCATCAATGGAATCTGGTGACATACTTTGGTGACTGGCTCATTTCACTGAAAATAATGTCCTCAAGGATTAACCAGGTCATAGTGGGATTTTATTCCTCTTTAAGGCTGTTCCCTGTGTGTACAGAGCACATCTCATTTATCTCTTCACCAGTGATTAACTTTGGTTGGTTCCACTTTGGTGAATAATATGACTGTGAAGGTGAGAGTGGAGTCTTTGAAATCCTGGTTTCAATTTTTTGGGGGTATAAGCCCAGAAGTGGAGATCCTCTGGGAATTCTATTTTGAATTTTCTGAGGAAGAGCCACACTGATTTCATGGTAGCAGAATTATTTTATATTCATGCCCAGAGTGCACAGGGTTCCAGTGTCTCCACATCCTCACTTGACAAAGAAGACATTTTTAAAGACCACCACTCATATATAACAAAGATAGCAATTTTAAGTCATTTCATTTTATTGAGTTATGCAAAAAATCTTTAGAATAAAAAAAATAAGAAACTACACAAAAATTCAAACCATTACAATGACAGCACACCACAGACACAAAATTTAAATCTTAGTATGTAAACTGAATTCATTTGCTGGCACAAAGAGAACGCAATGTCCTTCCTGCTGGAAAGTCACTTCCACTTGGCCACAAGGCACAAGGCTCTAACTTGGGATATGTTTTTTTTTTTTTTTTTTAACAGATCAACATTGTAAGAATTTGAATTTGGGGCTTACCAATGATTTTGAAATATGGGGGCATGGGAAAGGTCACAGCAGAAGTGAGCTAAGCAGAGGACACCTCTGGCACATGCCAAGCCCCTACTGTCACCTAAGCCACTCAAGGCAGGTCACTCATGCTGGGGTTGTGACCGGCAAAAGAGGGGTTCTCATTATTGCTGGTTTAAGAAAAGGCACAGATTTCTTACAAGAATACATTTTCATCACATTTTTTTTATGTTTCTCCTCCCTCTGCCAATAATTAAAAATTGTAAATAAAATTGTTTTAGCAAAATAAAAGATGTTATAAATTAGAGTATTTATGAGCAGTAATGGTAACATCAGGGCAATTTCATACCTGCCAAAGAACATAATTAAAAGAGAATGCAAAATGTGAAGGTGAACCCTGCTCAGACCCCAGGCTGACAGATGGCTCGTCATTCCCTTCTCATGTCAGCTTTCATTATCCACTCAATTTTCTCTTTTATATCTTTAAGGTCTTTTGGGTTGGATTTAGAACTAATTAAAAGCACTATGGTAGCTTTAAATTTTATGGAAAATTCATTTGTATAAAAAGGATATAAAATCAATCTGTAGTGTTTAAAATGATAGTATTAGGAACATCGTGGGTGTGTGCAATTTCACGTACAGCTCTCTAGTACTGTGGAAGCAGCAGCTGGTCTAAACTCCTACAGAAATAACTATTCCCCAAAACTCATTGCTCCCTCCTTGGGGGCCACCCTGCTGGTAGCAAGGGAACTAATTCATAGGTGTGAGGTGTTCCCTTCTGATTTAAGTTTAAGCCTTTAGTCAAATACCTACAACTTTTGTTTTTGAGATATCCGGCCCCTAATGGGCAAACGACTCCACACCACTTCTCTAACTTGGGAGAACTAGTGACCATCTTGTCATGAACGTGTTTCAAAGAAGATGCTAAGTGTTTCTACCTGGCTTTAGAACTAAAGAGTGTAAGGTGGAGAGGCTGTCACTTATCCATCAGGTTAAGGATCATCTCACAGGTCATGGCTTCTGGCAGGGACCCGCTCCCAGCCGAGCCGTCTTCACAGTGGACAGGAGACATCTCCCCTGGGAGCTGTGTCCCCCTCATGGTGGTGGCCTCCCCGGCAGCAGCGTCTTGGAAAGAAGACACAGGGCAAGGAAATTCAAATGAAAGCAGAGACATGTGAGCTGGTAAACGTGCAGACGGATTTTGGAGACAATCATCACTTGCGTTTTACGTGGCAGTGAGTGTGAGGAAGCGAGAATATGTGGGGCTGGAGATGTTCTGATGTGAGCTGTCTGCTCTAAATCAGGGATGCCCAGTCTCCACCTGAAAGACACTGGGCCAGGGAGTCCTTTGTGGGGCCTCGTGGGCACTAGAGGAAGAGACCATGAAATGCCCACGGCACGCTCCTGCTCACCCAGCCTTGTTTCACAGTCCCCAGAACACTGCTCCCAGGACACCTGTCCCCTCGAACACAGACTGAGGACTTGTTCTGGTCAAGGTCCTGACAAAGGTGAGGCAAGCAGTGGGATGGGGGGCATGCTAGGGCTGCAGGAGCTGAAGTCCGAGGTCAGGTGACTCAGATGCATGGGTGGAGCAGCCCACAGGTGGCCGTGGGTGAGTCTGCAGGAGAACGGTGGAGGTTGAGGGATGAGCTTTCCATTTTGGATGGACTGAGCCTGGGGCACAGGAGAGCAGCTCCTCTGCTGAGGAACGCTCTCTCTTGTCCTCAGAGCAGGAGGGAGGGAGCTCCAAGTCACCAGCAACCCACCCTAGGCATCACCGGGACCACAGAGAGGGTGTGGGCGGACTGTGGGTGCAATGTGGACCAGGTGTAGGCGTATGACACAGGTGTGTATGGTGCAGGTATCCATGGCACAGGTGTGTGCGTGCTGTAGGTGTCTGTGTGAGACTCAGGTGTGCATGGTGCAGGTGTGTGTGTGGCACAGGTGTGTGAGGCACAGAGGTGTGGTGCAGGTGTGAGCAGGGTATGAGAGAGAATGTGTGTTGTGTGCGCACATACACAGGTGCGTCAGTCAGCATGTGGACATGGCTCAAAAGGACCCATGTGACAGGGCTGTGCCCACCCAGGTTCTCATGCTTTCTCCTTCCACACCACTGCCATCTAAGAGGAGAGCTGTTCTGCCTCACTGGCCACCAACACGGCCCAACATGGCGGGGAGCGGTAAAGAGCCCGACCACGGCCAGGTGTTCCAGGTTTGGGTGGGGGGACTGCCTCAGACTGACCACTGGGCAGATGCATATTTGACCCCTGCACTCAGTTGGGAAATCACTGCCAAATTAAAAACTAATTTATTTAAAATGAGGTACCGTCATCCTTTCCTGCTTCTTTCGAGAATGTCTGCTTTTTCTTTCTCATTCGCCTTCCTTTTCCTGAGGTGCTCACCCTCTTTTCCTCCAATACACACTTCTCAGCGTGTCGGTTCATGTTATTCTGTGGGAGAGATGACACATCACACAATGAGCGTCTGTGTCCCTAACTGTAGTTCACAACACATGGTTTATAGACTGACAGGACAACAGCAGGCAACATTACCTTTTATGATCTCAGATAAAAAAATAATCACATTTTTCAGATGACCCTTCCTACTGTGTTTAGGTCTAGAAAAAAAACTAGCTTGTTTTCAGTTTTTTAAATAGAAGTCAGTAAGAGAGGCAAGACGGTGGGTTGTTGATAGACACCACTTTCCTGAGTCTCTAAGAATTTGAAAGAAAACCTCAGGTTTGTGGCTGCAAGGGTAGGTGGGCAAGTTAGTATGCTAAAAAAGAGGGTGCCCGTATAAGGACAACCTGTAGCTAGTGTTACTAACTTCTAACTAAGCTTCTAAAAGTGCAAAAATCCACTGTGGACTCATGGACATGGACTGGGACCTGCTCCATTTGCACCCAACCTGAGTTCTGCTGTTTGTTTGGCTTTTTTTTTTTCTCCATCTGGACATGAACTGCTTCCTGCTCACCAGGACTACCCTGAGTGCAAAATCACAACATGAAGGGACAGTAGCTGACCACTGACCTGAGTCCCCTCTAATACAAACCAATCAGGTGAGTTAACTGTTTTCAGTCCTGAGGGCTGCGCAGGCCAGCTCAGTGGGTGGGAGCAAATTAAGCCGACCTCTGAGAAATCTGGTGACTAAACTGGCTGAATCGGTACCACCCCCTACCCCACCAATTCCAAGAAATCCTTTGGCTAAGTGGGCAGATTGAAGACTCCCAGACTGGCCTGACAAGGGTGGGAGAAAGCCACTTAGTCCAGCATCTCTATCCCAAGGAGGGGCAGGGCCAGCAGGCTAACTGGCTAGAGCTCAGCATCCAGGTCTGGATCCCAAAACAAGGAGCTGGCCAGGTAGCTAGAGCCCTAACTTACCAGCCAACCCAGCAGCGTACACACACACACAAGTGACAGGGGTCATTCACCCATTACTCCCCAGGTGAAATGTTGTCCTGGAGGACTAGGGGGGAAAGAGCAAAAAGCTCATCACTGACAAGGTTTCCTAACCCACTAGCTGTGCTTGGAGAACTCGCAACTGAGAATGTCTGCTTTTTCTTTCTCATTTGCCATAATGGCTAACTCACACACTCTGAGCTGCCTAACTTCACTCCAGCAGCTTTCCTAATCCACAGTCCCCCTGGGGACATGTGAGTAAATACAACAGAAGTACGGATGAAACACTGAGGACCAGAGACAAGAGGGGAGCATCCAGTGTACAAACAGAGCACAGAAGACATACATTCTTCTCTGTAACAAGGAAGAAATTCAGACTTTGAATGTTTTTGTTTTCTTTTGTCTATCCCTCATATATTGCCAACTTTTTTCACCTTATTCATTTTTAATTTTTTTCTCTTTTTCCCTTCACTTTTCCTATCTCTTGCTTACAAACCAATCAACAGGTGGTTTACTCTACCTCCTTCTTGCATTACTCTTGATCTGTCTATCCTTCCATCATCCCTGGAAATAGCACCTTTCTCACAACAACTGAACTGTCCCTCTCACAGCAGGGTCTTGTTTACTTGCAGCCCTCCCATCTTCTCTCCCCCTTCCATTTTCCTTGTTCCTTATCTCCTTCCCACTCTCTTTATTTTTAGTACCCTAGGTTTTAACTTGCAAAACAAGTTTTATTTTTCTAACTCCCTACCATACAAGAATTCTAGTCTTCTTTGTATATAACATGACGGGACAGAGAATACTGCAAAGGTATTCTGCTTCATGTACGTACCTGGACTGGTATTGATGAGTTTGTGACTGCTAAGTTTTACCCCCAGAAATAACACAACTTAGCTAATAACCAGTCCTGCTAGAACACAGAAAATAATTCAAGGGAAAGACTTCAGGTGACAAAAACCCCCAACCAGCTAATTAACTGCAGATGAGAAAATCTCAAAATAGAGGCACAAGAACTATGAAAAGGCAGGGGAATATGACTCCTCAAAAGGTCAACAATCATACAACAGAGGATATTGGATAGTGAGGAGGATGGAACCTCAATTTCTAACTCAAAATAATGATGGTAAGAACAATTAATGAGATTAAAGAAGACATGCAAAAACAAGTCCATGAGATCAAAGAGACTATGAATAAACAGCTAAATGAGTTCAATGAAAAGGCAGAGAAGCAAATGAATGGACTCTAAGAGTATACAAACAGCTTAATAAATGCAAGGAGGATGCAAATAAACAGCTAAATGAAATAATGAAGACAATATAAGACATAAAAAGGGGAATTTAATAAGGACATAAAAAGCCTCAAAAAATCCAAATTGAAGCTCTGGAAATAAAAAGCGTTTTAAGTCAAATAAAAAAACTCAACGGAAAGCCTCTCCAGCAAACTGGAACAAATGGAAGACAGAATTTCAGGGCTTGAAGACAAAGTACATATAACAGAAACAAACCAGATGAATACATAGAAAAAAATAAAGAAATACAAAAAGAACAGGCAAGAATTCTGTGTCTCCATTAAAAGATCAAACCTATGCATCATGGGTGTTGAAGAAGAGGTGAAAGCAAAGGCATAGGAAATATATTTAACAAAACAGTAGAAAACTTCCAAGATCTTGAGAAAGAAATGCCCATCCAGGTACAGGAGGCCTCCAGTGCTCCAAACAGACACGACCAAAATAGAAACTCTCCACAGCATATTATAGTTAAAACATTAAGTATAGAACAAGGTTAGAATTTTGAAAGTTGCAAGGGAGAAATGCCAGGTCACCTATAAAGGCAAATCCATCAATGTATGGATTTTTCAACAGAAACATTAAAAGTAAGGAGGGCATGGAATGAGGTTATTTCAAGTAATGAAAGAAAATAATTTCAAACCTAGATTACTCTATCCAGCAAAGCTATCATTCCTAATTGAAGGAGAAATAAAAACTTTCCATAATAACAGAAACTAAACCACTAAAACTATACTCCAGAAGATACTGAAAGGAATTTTACACGCAGAAAATGAAGGTAAATATAGCCAGGAAAGTATGGGAATAACTCAATCTCACTAATGAACAGATATGTGAATGGAGAGTAGTAACACTAAAAAAAGCAACAAAATGGCAGGAATTATCACATACCTTGCAATACTAACACTGAATGTTATAGTCTCAACTCTCCAATCAAAAGACAAAGATTGGTGAGCTGGATTAAAAAGTAAGATCCCCAAATTTGTTGCCTGTAAGAAATGCATCTCACCGACAAAAACAAACATTGGCTTAGGGTGAAAGGGTAGAAAAAGATTTTCCAAGCAAATGGACCCTGAAAACAGACAGGAGTAGCTATACTTACATTGGATCAAACAGACTACAAATCTAAAATAGTCAGAAGAGACAAAGAAGGTACTCCATACTAATAAAAGGATCAACACATAAAGAGGAAATGGCAATGGTTCACTGAGGTGTGCCAGCTTCATTAAACGAACACTCCTGGACTTAAAAGCACAGATAGACCCCAACACACTGATAGCGGAAGACTTCAATACCCATTGCCACCAATGCATAGGTCATCCAGACAAAAAAATCAACAAAGAAACCTCAGAATTACATGATACCATAGACCAAATGGACTTAACAGACATCTACAGAGTATTTCATCCAGTAGCAGCACGATATACATTCTTCTCAGCAGCTCACGGAACTTTCTCCAAGATAGATCATATTTTAGGACACAAAGCAAGTCTTCTCAAATACAAGAAAACTGAAAATATCAGACACAATGAAATAAGACTAGAACTCAGCAACAAAAGAAACTACAGAAAATATTCCAACACACAGAGACTGAACAACATAGTAGGTCACTGAAGAAATAAGAGGTGGGGTGGGAATAAAAAAAGTTCCTGGAATCTAATGAAAATGAAAACACAACCTACCAGAACCATGGGACACAGCAAAGGCAGTGCTAAGGGGTAAGTTTAGAGCTATGAGTGCCTACTTTCAAAAACAGAGATCATAAATGAGCAACCTGAAGCTATACCACAAGCTCCTAGAAAAATAAGAACAAGCTAAACCTAAAATTAGTAGAGGAAAGAAATAATAAAAATGGGGTCTGAAATCAATGAAACAGAGACCAAAAAAACTATACAAAGAATCAATGAAACAAAGAAAGTTGATTCTTTGAAAAGATAAATAAAATTGGCAAACCCATAACCATTCTGATTAGAAGGAAAGACCCAAATTAATAAGATTAGAAATGAAAAAGGGGATATCACAACAAATACCAATGAAACCCAGAGGATCACAGGGAACACTGTGAAGCTTGTATTTAAATAAACTGGAAAATTCAAAAGAAATGGATAGATTTCTAGATGCATTTAACCAACCAAAATCGAACCAAGAGGATATAAACCACCTAAATAGATCTATAATAAGCAATGATATTGAATAAGTAATAAAAAGTCTCCCAATGAAGAAAAGCCCAGGACCCAAAGGATTCACTTCTGAATTCTGCCAGACCTATAAAGAAGACTTAGACGCCAGGCGCTGGTGGCTCACACCTGTAATCCTAGCTACTCAGGAGGCAGAGATCAGTAGGATCGCCATTTGAAGCCAACCTGGGCAAATAGTTTGTGAGACTGTATAGTGAAAAAAAACCTTAACAAAAAAGGGCTAGTGGAGTGGCTCAAAGTGCAGGCCCTGAGTTCAAATCCCAGTACTGCCAAAAAAAAAAAAAGACTTAGAGCTGTGATGTAGCTCAGTGGTAAAGCACTTGCCTAGCATGCAAGGCCCTGGGTTTGATTCCCAGCACCAAAAAAGAAAACATACCACCACCACCAACAACAAAAGAACAAGAAGAAGAAGTAATACCAATATTCCTGAAACTCCTCCAGGAAATAGAAAAGGAAGCTACATTACCAAATTCATTCTATTAAGCCAGTATTATACTCATTCCAAAACCAGATGAGGATGAAACAAAAAAAGATAACCACAGGTCAATCTCATTAATGAACACAGATGCAAAAATTCTCCACAAAATGCTGGTCAACCAAATTCAACGACATATCAAAAAGATCAGACACTACGATCAAGTTGCTTTTATTCCAGGGATGCAGAAATGGTGCAATATATACAAATCAATAAATGTAACATAGCACAGAAGCAGGAACAAGGACAAAATCACATGATCCTCTCAACAGACACAGACAATGCAGTCTGACAAAATTCAGCATGGCTTCAAGATAAAAGCTCTGAAGAAACTAGTAACAGAAGGAATGTTCCTCACCATAATAAAGTCCATATAAGACAGTCCTATAGCCAGCATCATGCTAAATGGGGAAAACTGAAACCATTTCCTATAAAGGCAGGAATGAGACAAGGGTGTCCACTCTTCTCACTCTTATTCAATATTGTACTGAAATTCCTAGCTAGACAAATAAGATGGAAGAAATAAAAGGGATTCAAGTAGAGAAGAAGTCATATTATCCCTATTTGTAGATGACACCTAAAAGACTAAAAATTCCAGCAAAAAACTCTCAAAGAGAGTTTGTCTTTACTCTGAGCAAAGTAGCAGGATACAAAATGAACATACAAAAATCATTAGTTTTTTTACGTACCAACAATGAACAGACTGAAAATGAAATCAAGAAAATAATCTAATTTATAATAGCCTCAAAAAACCCAAAATACCTAGGAATAAACTGCATGAAGGAAGTGAGGGACCTATATACAATGAAAACTATAAATCACTGAATAAAGAAATTGAATGCTGTGAATATGGCTATATTACCAAAAGCAATCTACGTGTTCAATGCAATTCCCATCAAAATGCCAATGAGGTTCATCACAGCGACAGAAAAGCCAATCCTCAAGTTCATATGGAAGCACAAAGACCTCGAATAGCCAAGGCAATCCCGAGCAAAAAGAGCAATGCAGGAGACATCACAATACCTGACTTCAAACTACACTACAGCGCCATAGCAGGAAAACCAGTATGGGACTGGCACAGAAACAGACATGAAGACAGTGGATCAGAAGACCCAGACACAAACCCACAGGTGCAGTCACTTGATTTTTGTTGAAGGAATTGAAAATGTGCATTGCAGAAAATGTCAGTCTCTTCAACAAATGGTACTGGGAAAACTGGATATTCCCCTGTAGAAGACTGAAATTAGATCCCTGTCTCTCACCTTGTACTAATACAATTCCAAGTGGATCAAATATCTTAATGTGAGATCTGAAACTGCTACAGGAAAGAAGGAAAACACTGGAAGCTGTGGGCACAGGCAGTAGAGCTCCAAAAGGTCAGGTAATTAAGAGAAAGTTTCACAAATGGAAACATGCATCTATGGAAAGCATACATGGAAATGTCACCACGAACACCCTGGTGCTAATAAAAATGTTTAAAACAAAAAGAAGTTGTAATTTATTTTTCTAAAACACTTCTATACCCTTTAATGTGAGCACTCGTATTAAGCTGGAAATACAACACATCCACCAAATTTTACAGCAATGACAGACCATGGAGATGGCCTGTCCTACTGGCTGCTCCCCTGACCCCACTGAGCTCCAAGGATACAGATGGCAGCTGCTAAACCTGCATGTGACATTGAGAACAGAGGAAAGCAAGGATGTCCTAGCCAAGCCCATTGGTGACATTCTTGTATAGTGAACATCACAATTAAAATCAGCTGCAAAAGAGAATCTTGCAATATGTGGCCTTCTGTGTGTCTGGTTTCTCTCAAGGTGCACTGTAGCAAGAATCAGCTCTTTGCTCCTTTTCATGGCGAAGTATTTCATCGGATGGACAGACCATATGTACTGTAGCTATTCGTCACTTGATAGACATCAGGATAATTCACACTTTTTGGCTATTTGGAAAGTTCATGTGCAAAGCTGAAAAGCGATCTTGGCTCTGAATTTGCTGATTATGTAACCCTGGCCCCTAAAGTTTTAGTCTGACCTTGGCCTGTGCCTGGCAGGACCGTCCTGCTTCCTGGCGGGAGGGTGGAGTTAACAGGTAAGCAGGCAAGTGCAGGTCACCTCAGTCCTCCCACTTGTGCTTAGCCATTGGGGTTGGCCTGCAGCAGGTTTCATCAGAGCACAGCCACAGTGGTCACTTACAGACTGTCCGTTAGCGGCTGCTCTGTGGACAATGAAGGATTTAAGGTGGGCCAGAGGCCATCTGGCCTGAGAAGCTGGGGACCTTCCCTCTGGGGCCCTTGACGAAAAGTTTGTCATCTTGTTTTCCAGGATGATTAGGAATAAACCGAGTCTCTTGGGAGGTTAAGAGCTCCTTTCAGAACATGAAGGAAGCCATGGTCTGTTCCCTGGTGAAATGCATACGTGACCACACAGTGGCCCCAAGATGCCACCATGCTGAGGGCTGAGAGCTCCTGACACAGCTCTGTATTAACAAAACACAGACATGAACACTCATGGCCTTTAAAAGTAGCTGGGCTGGGGATGCAGCTCAGAGGACAAGCTGTTGCCAGCAGGCGTGAGGCCTAGTTCCATTTCCAGCACCATAAATAAGCAATAAATAGAAAAATGGTTGGGTGAAGGTTTTAGGTCAACCTACATTTAGTGCAGTCTGGACTTCAGAGGGTGAATGAATGTGACAAACCCAAGCCTAAAAGAAAACCAAGAAGCCAGCAACGAGTGTACACCAGGGCCCTCACTGGGAGGGACAGCGTCTGGCCTGTGACATTCTGGGAGCCAAACTGTGCATTTGTGTGTGTGTGTGTGTGTGAAAACTTTTACTTTTAGAGAAGTTAAGTTGAATTTGAGATCCAGATAGGCTTTATTTTTAACAGCTTTGTGAAGATGTGGGCCAGGTAACAAGACGATTCACCTGCTTAAAACATGGTTCTTCCAGTGTTCACAGACCTACTTTTATAGCATTTTGTTACCCCCAAAGGAAACCCCATACCCCATCAGCAGCCCTCTGACCACCCCCTCACTCCTCCATCCTGGCAGCAGCTGACCGATTTTTTCAGTGGAAAACAGAATCTTGCAATATGTGGCCCTCTGTGTCTGGTTTCTCTCAAGGTGCACTGTAGTAAGAATCAGCTCTTTGCTCCTTTTCATAGCCAAGTATTTCATCGGATGGACAGACCACATGTTCTGTAGCTATTCGTCACTTGATGGACATCGGGATAATTCACACTTCTTGGCTGTATTGTGAATAGTGCTGCTGTTAACATTTGTGCGTGAGGTTCCATGTGCCATAAACGTTTTCAATTCTTTTGAGTATCTATCTGGAAACTGGTCATTTGGTCACTCATTTTTTGAGGCCCTGCCACTTTCCAAGGTGACTTCAGCATACAACATATCCCATGAGTGATTTATGAGGCCCCGATTTTCCAGTCTTCATGGAGGCTTCAATTTCTGTTTCCATCACGACCGATGGTGCTGCACGGCCTTCCACATGCTCCTCAGTGATCTGAATGGTTTCCTTGGAGAAATGTCTGTTTAGGTATTTTTGACTGAGTTGTAGCTTTTTGTTTTGTTTTATTTTGAGACAGGGTTGTGCTGTGCAGCCCAGGCTGACCTGGAACTCTCAATCCCCCTGTCTCAGCCTCCCAAGTGCTGGCATTACACGTGTGAACACCACGTCCAGCTTGCCTGTTTTCAATTGGGTATTTGTCTAATTATTATTAGGCTGGGAGAGCTCCTCACCCATTCTCAATACCAGTCCAGATGTTCTCTCTTGAACGGAAGAACCGTCTGGAGACTTCCGATTGTCCCAGGGGATGGTGTGAGGCCTACTCAGTCTTCTCTCTGCTTCCGTTTCTCACATGGAAAGGCAGCTTCTGCCTGAGGTCTCCACTGCCACCACCTCACTTCTCACTTTGATTCGGTTGTGACACTGTTCTGCTCCAGAGCCACATGTAGACCTGAAGTTTTGTGCCAACAGGGTCAAGCTTCCCCGGCTATCCCACTCTGACACTCGGGAAATGCAGCTAGTTACCCTGTTACTTCCTTTTAAGAGAAAAGATAAAGCTTCCACCACAAAAAGTCAACTCCAGGGCGGGGGCTGTGGCTCAAGTGGTAGAGCACCTGCCTCACAGGTGAGTCCCAGAATTCAAATCCCAGTCAACTCCACATAACTCAGAACTTTATAAAACTGGGATGGAGCACAGACCACCCATGGATGCGTTGGTTGCAAAACGTCCACAGGTTCTCTGACGCTCTTGAGCTTGCACTGGATTATGGATTTGTCCTAATACATAGAAATGACCTGTGTCACTTTAGGACTAGAACATCAAGACCCTGGGTTTCCTCCTCCTCTCCCTTTTCTGGTCCCAACGATACCTGAGTAGCTCCATGGGGAGGTCTTGTGCCCACAGCTACTGGGAGCACGGTGGAGGATGATCCTCGGGCCGGCCCGGCACTGCCACATCACAGCCCCTGGGCACATTCTGCCAGCAACCTGATGGACCCGAATCAGAGCCACCCAGCCGACCCCCCCCACCCCGCCACTGCCTAGTTCCCGACCCCTGGAAACCAAGAGCGAAGTTTTGAGGAGCTATACACTATCTAGGAAAATACAAGCCTGCACAGGCAACTGGGGTCTCAGAGCATCTGAGCCACGTGTGACAGCCATGTTTCTCTGGGAAGCTATGTCCTACATTGGGTTCATAGGAGCCATTTAACCTCACCCTTCAAACCTGAGGTTGCCCCAAAATGACTTGCAAGATCCTGTGGCAGGGAAGACCACCTACTCACCAAATCCTTCAAGTTTCTCGGCTCCAAAATGCTAAGCATTTTGTGCAGTGCAGGAGGTGCTTGCTACCTTGAGGGCTGGTCAGCCCTCCTGGAGTGGCCCTGGCTTCTGGGATGGAGGGATCTTTTCTGGGATTTGCTGCAGCTGAGGAAGCTTACCCAGCGGGAAAAGCCTTTGCCACACTTAGGGCATTTGTGCACAGTGGGGACGAAGCTGGCGTCGTGGCATCTCTTCCAGTGCACACTCAGCAGCTGCTTCTGCCGGAAACACTTGGGGCAGGATGGGCAGGTGAAGGGCTTCTCTCCCGTGTGCGTGCGCACATGGATCGTCATGTGCCGCTCCTGGAGAAGGGGAGGAACACGCTGACCCAGGGAAGAGCTCCAACATTTATCCTACAAAATGCTCATCCTCCCCCAGGACATCGTATGCCAAGCTAGACACCCGGAGCCCATCTCCAAGCCGCAGGAGGGTCTCCTCGTGGTGTCTGAGACAGGCTGGCACTTAGCCGCCACTGTCACAGAGTTCTCGTCACTAATTCCTTCTGGATTTTCAGGCCTGCGGGAGAGCACACTCTGGAAGTGACAAGATGACCATCCCGGCCCCTCCCAGGACGCCGGGTATCTGGAGGATCATCACATAGGAACATTTGTGGTTACCTGGTTCATGGGGCAGGGCGGGGTTGGGGGGAGGGCGGAGGGGATGGGGGACAGAGAGAGCCCGCAGACTCACAGGTCTAAGGTGGAGAGTTTAAAGCAGCAGATGTGTGAGGCCAAAGTGTGTTAATTATCTAAATAGTTTTCCTTCCATCTACATCCCATACAATGATGTCAGATATTAGCACTGATTTTTAAAACATAATGGTGAAAATAACTGTTCTTAGCAAAGATGCAACCTAAGGTTTAAAAGAAGACTTGTAAGAACTTGGGAAATCAGGACCAAAACCAGGTGTAAAGCTACCTAAAAGCACACACTTGCTGCTTCACTTCAAATGCTGCGGTTTTTCTAATTAAATGCACGGTCACTTCCACATTGTGGTCACTTCTGCATTACGGTTACCAACTTAATTGGTGCTCTTGCTTCCCATCTCTCTACTCTGACTCCTGCAGCACATCCACTCCACCCCCCACCTACACATTTCTCATTCAGTTTCCAGGACCTTGTCCCCCGAGTTCCAGCTAGGAGCCTGGCTCTCCAGGACCTGGCGCTGGGATCCCCCAGCTGGTTCCAGTCTCAGGCCCCTGGTTGGCCTCCTCACGCCTGGCTGCTCTCTGCTTCTCACGCCCCCCTCCTATTTGGCCTCCAGGGCCTGCTCTGCTCAGTCTGGGTCCATAATGCCCCCTCTGCTTTAGCAACTCTGATCTGGAGCCTCAGAATACTCTAATGTTCAAAACCTACCTGAAAACCCTTTTTATCAAAGCATTCCCTACTTACGGCCCACACTGTGAACCATAGTAGCCTTGGCTAACCCGTGGTAAACCTGTCACACTAGCTCCAAGCCCTTGGAAGTATCCTGGGGCCACTGTGCTCTTAAAGATTACAGCAAGCCGGGTGTGGTGGCTCTCACCTGTAATCCTAGCTATGTGGGAGGCTGAGATTAATTCGAGGCCAGCCTGGAAAAAACAGTTTGTGAGACTCCATTTCCAAAATAACCAGAGCAAAATGGACTGGAGGTGTGGCTCAGTGGTACAGCGCTTGCTCAGTGTGTTTCACGCCCCGAGTTCAAACCTCAGTCCTCTCCTCCCCCCCGCCAAAAACTTACTGCAGACTCCTAAGAGCTTTTGTTCATATGGTGACATGTAATATTTACTGTTAAAATTCCAAAAAAGTTTTTTTGAAAAGTTAAGAAAATCAATTCATTTAAAAATGATCTAACTGCATGCTAATTTACTTCTGTAAAAGTAGATTATCTTTCTTCAAATCAAAACAACAAAAAGCAATGTCTTTGTTCGTAATTAAAAGATGGCTAGTTAAGATATAGGTTGCAGAATTTAGGTCTACTTATATGCAAAACTATTCACAGTTCTCTGGAGTTCAACTGTCCTGTGTCTTTATTTCCTGAGCCTGGAAACTTCCTAAAAGAACCCGGGTGGACCCCAGCTGGGCTTCTGTCTGTCCATCTGTGGGCTGGGCTGAGGGCGATAAGGAGACCTGGACTCCCAGCACACAGTTAGGAAAGCAGGCAGGATTTCAACTGTTTTTCCAAATAACTGTGGACACTGTTCTTGGCTGTGACACCAAAACATAAGTTTAGTTTGCAATGTTGAATGTGAAAACATGCCAGTCACCTTTGTCCCCCCATTGCGGTAAGATGTGTTTATCTGCCTGGGGTGTTGCATGGCTCTTCCGCCCGTGCACGACCCTGTGACATCACAGACTGGTCACTGGGAAGGTATGGCTGTACTGAGCCATGAAGATTTTGTGAAGATAGACATCACACAATATATAAAAAAACCCAGCTTTCTTAAAATCACCCCCACCTATCAGAAAAGTCTTTAAGGACTAGAAAACTGTAAAGCTCAGTGGTGAATACATATTTTCCAAAATTCTAATTTCCTTTTGAAAGCTGAAATTCTAACAGTGGGAACACATTTCCCTTAAAGGGACAAGATTACATTTTTCTTTGTCAAGAAAACATCTTCCAAACGCCTAGTCACTACATGTATAGAGTTCACCTACCACCTGCTCTTTCCATTGAAAATGGTGACCATCCCAGGAAAGTGGCTAGTTGAGCCACAAATTTAAACAATCCCCCAAGGCTTTCACTGCAAGATCCTGAGGCTTCTGGAGGCAGCAGCAGTGCTTTCCGACATTTCTTGTCACACAGGACATTAAGGAGAAAGTATTCAGGATGAAGATTTAGTAAGCTCACAGTTCTACTATGTCACCAAGGGCATTCTTGAGTGACATGGACCTTTGTTTCTGCTGCTAGACCACAGTGACAGCCAGTCCTGTGGAGTGTCACTGCTGCAATCGGTATGAAGGCACCTACACTGCTCTGACACCAAATGACAAAACAGCAAAAAGGGTGAGGACTGCTGGTATGGCTCGAGTGGTGGAGTGATTGCCTAGCTTGCTCGAGGGTCTGGGCTCAACCCCCACACCGCAAACACAGAACAAGAAAAAGGGCAAAGTAACGGGACACCCTGGCATTACTGGGACAGTGGTTTAGCTGGTTGGGCCATCTGGTCTCAGGGCCTTGGGCTGTGAACACTGCTGCCTTTCCCTGCTGGCTTCTGGCTGCTCCTAGTTGTCCTGACCAGGAAACAACTTTTCAAAGTGACAGAACCTACTCCAGCCTCCCTCCACCCAAATGTGCCTTCCCGAGTCCACCCGAGCCCAGTACCTGCTTGCAGGCATAGCCACAGTGCTCGCACTTGAACCTCTTCTCGTTCTTGTGGCCTTTCTGGTGCTGCAGGAGGGCGTAGCGCTCGTGGAAGACGGCCGTGCAGTAGCGGCACTTCATCTCTGCAGTGCTGTAGGTGTGCAGATTACGCATGTGCACGTCTGAAATGGGCAGAACAGCACAGTGGGGGCTGCAGCTGGCAGTCAGGCCGACCCCACCCCCATCCATCCCACTCCACCCCAATCCATCCCACTCCACCCCAGGTCTCTCAGCCTCAGCACTACAAATGCCAGCCTGAGCCTTCCACGCAAGGTGGGCAGACGTCCCCACCTGCAGGGTACTCAGCAGTGTCCCAGGCCTCCACCCACCATAGACCTGCTGTACCCGGAGGGGAGAGGGGATGACAAATGCCTCCAAGATGCTGGCCCACGCTGCCCAGGGGTCCCAGCATCTCAGCTCAGAGCTGCTGCTGTCACTCCTTCAAGCTGGAGTTGGAGGATCTGTAAGTTTGGCCCTATTGGACCCCAAGTATGCATTTAACAAGCCCTCTGAGAACTTCAGCCCCGAGTGGAGAATTTAGGAAAATACCACTTTTTTTTCACAACAAAGATACAACCTGTATTTTTGACTTAAAAACTTGAGTCCAGATGTTTGCTGGGAGTCAGTGCCGTAATTCCCCACCTTACACCTGACCTGAGAGGGAAACAAAGGACCTGACAGGGGACACTCCCTCCTTGCTCAACTGGGTCTCGGCGTGGTGGCTCAGTGGCACCGTGTGAGGTAGGCAGCTCCCATCTGTGTGATGGGGAGCACCCTGCACATCTGACTCAGATACCCCAAGAGTGCAGTTTCCCAGAGCAAGTGTCTGCACAGCCTCCGACAGTCATGTAGAGCATGTCAGCCCCCAGCATGTGACACAGTGTACTACTTTGTTGAAGAGTCAAGGAAGTCTCACATTGGTCATTCTCACTGTGGAGGCAATCCGCTTTCAGTATATTAAAAGTGTATTCTTTTCCTCAAGAATTTTACTTTTACTACTTAAAGAAGTCTCACATCCTTTGCTGGCAAGTGGCTCATTATCCTTGTGTCCTACTGAGTCCCACGGGCTGCTTGGTGGTGTGCGGGTAACCAAGGCAACACTGACAGGAAGTTCTCGATGAAAAACAGAAGCTAGGTTCTGTCAACGCCTTCACCTTTTTAAAAATTATTTCAGAACCGTTCATCCTGTCTCTGGAATTTCTCAGGACAAAGTGAGGGAGTTTTTACTTTTGTGAAGATGTGTTGAGTGTCACGAAATCATACATTTGGGAAAGAGGAAAAGGTCACAGAAGAGAGAGGCCTGGGATCTAGAAACAGGGTGCGGCTCCCTGGCCCAGGCTCATGCTGGCCGCCCACCCACAGGCTCTTGAGCGTGTGAACTCTTAGCCACAGTAATTCCACTCCTGTTCTGAGCTGTCCCTGTGTCTGGGGCGCTCACCAAGGAGAAAGTGACTTCATGTCACAATCTGCATCTTCCTGAAGTGAGGACTCACGTACTCTGGACTCTTGGTTCCCTGAAGGTTGTGTGCAGGGCTTGTTGATGTGATCAGAGAGAGGCGGGGACACCTGAACTATGACCCACCTGCCTACTCGTACCCTGGTCATGGGACCCTCCAACAGGTGGCTGTCTCTGAGCTCCACTGTTCTCATCTGTAGTAACAGGCCCAGCGTGGACTAAAACAATACTGTGAAAGTGTTTTGAGCACAAATATCCCTGACATCTCACATGTATAGGAACAGGCTTAGACCAGGACCCTGACATCATTCTGGGAAACAGCACTTATTCAGCTTGGCCACCAGATGGCACCACAGGACCTCTGAAAAACACTCGACCCCAGGAATAGTTCCTGGGGACCAGAAGCCACCTCCAGGGCTCTGGCAGGCTCAGCGGGTTGGCAGGCCCCAAGGGTTGGTCATAGATAATATGGCCCAGGAAAGAGGGTTAAACCAGACACTCACGCAGGTCGCTCTTCCTTGCAATGATGGTGGCACAATGGGGACACTGGAATTTGGGGACATTCTCACTGTGCTTCTGTGTAACATGTATCTTCATTGTCCCGCTCTGGGTGAACCGGGCGTGGCAGACTGGGCACTCGTAGGGCTTCTCACCTGCGACATGGACACCAGATGAGCCTGTGGGAGTGGCTTCACCCCTCAAGCCCGGTCCTCCCTGGTCCTTTCCACAGGACATCTGGTACTGGGGACTTCTGTCCCGTCAACCCCCTCCTCATAGGTTTAGGTGTCTGACTGGCATCCAGCCCCTAAGTCAAGTCACACAGCACGATGTGAGCATAGCAGGGTCCTTGTGGCCCAGAACTGCTCCCTGACGCCTGGGGCACCCTGCCAGCCTGGGGTGGGTATGACTGCTCATCTGTGAGTTATGTAAGTGGAGAAACACACACAAACAACCCCCCACACACGTTCCTCACACGGCACACGAAACGTGAATACGTCTGTTGTATGTTGGACAGTGAATTAACTGGCAGACTCTTTAATCACCGTCAAGGCCACAGAGCCAAAGGCTCTACATGGCTTGTGTGTCAAAGGGAGCTGCTGCAAGGTCATTATGTGTCTTCCTTGTTGCTAACAGAGGCTAAAGTACAGATCAAAACACCATGGCAAAAAGACCTGAGCAGGCTGGGGGCATGACTCAAGAGGCAGCATAGCTGCCAGCAAACCCAAGGCCCTGGGCTCAAACCCAAGGCAGATAGGAGCTGACCTGAAGAGTACATTCTAGAGGCTCAGATGCTTCCACAAGCAGAGCTCTGCCTTCCGGTCGGGCTGTGTGGGGCTCTCACCTGAGTGTGTCCGCATGTGACGTTTCAGCTTATAGGTGTCCTTGCTGGCATAGCTGCAGAGGCAGCACTGGAAGGGACGCTCGCCCGTGTGGGAGCGGATGTGGCGTTTCAGTTTGCTGGCCTGGGACACATGGGGGACAGGAACTCAGCACAGGCAGGGGCTTCAGTTAGACAGCTTCACAGGAGGGGCTTAAGTTAACCAGATTTGAACATCTGGGTATGTTTTTGCATGCTGAAAACACGAAGACCCCTTTCCCTCCCGCTCTCTGTTGTGGGCGAGGCTTTTTCCTTTGATCCGTGTGTAGAAGGCCCTTTTGGGGACAATGAGCAGCACTGTCCTCACTGAGAGGCTGGCATTCAACTTTGCTTTACAAAGGGAGAAGTGAAACCTTGCCACTCAACACCATATGTGGTTTTATTTCCAGGCCACATAAACTCAATGGCAGCAGAGTTTAGCTCGCAGTGCGGTGGCACAAAGACCAGAAACACCTGGCTGGGGGCCGGTGGCTCACGCCTGTAATCCTAGCTACTTGGGAGGCAGAGATCAGGAGAACTGCAGTTCAAGGCCAGCCTAGGCAAATAGTTCTTGAGACTCCCCGCTCCCCATCTCCAAAATAACCAGAGCAAAATGGACCAAAGACATGGCTCAAGTGGTAGAGCACCTGCTTTGCAAGTGTGAAGCCCTGAGTTCAAACCTCAGTTCCACCAAAAAGAAAAAAAAAAAAACGGCCAGAAAACCTGCTTTCACATGAAGTATCTTAAGCATTAGTTGTCAAATGGGGAGGGAGGGGAAATCCACAAAGGATGTCGCTATCTGAGTCTCACTGGCCCAAGAGCAGAGGCAGGCGGATGGAGCCAGGCCTCCTGTGTGAAGTATGTATCTCTGCGTTAGTGGTTCCTTCATAAGAAGTTCTAATTTGATTAATTCTGTCCCCCAGACCATTAGTTAAATGGCAAGCATGTCCTCCAGCAGTCACTCCAGCTGTCCACTGCCTTCTAGAACTGCTCCCGCTGCGTGTGCTCTCCGCCACCGCAGGCCCCCATGTGCACTTTGCAGGAAGTAGGGTGTTAGGCCACGTGGGAGCTGTGGATCTGGGAGGAAACGCACGTCCACCCGGCCCGTGATCTCAGGAAGGCTACACCACATCTGCCTCCCCCATACGTGGAGAACACACCTAGCCTCAAAGAACATTCAAGAACAGAAGGAGGTGGGGGGGTGCTGAAAGCAAGACTGAGGCCCAACACTTTAGCTAAGAGTCGTAGAAGAATGGTGGATGTCTGTAAGTATTTTAGAAAGCCAAGCAAAATAATTTTTAACACTGCAGCACACAAGGCTGCAGTAAGGTGAGAGGCGAGGCTTCCAAGTGGGATGCAGGCAGTGGAGCTGGCCTATCTGGCTCGGTTCCTCCCGCCTGTGTTGGAAGGGATGGGATGGGAGGGCACGGGCACCAGTCCCCATGCAGACCAGTGGGCCAAAACTGCTGAAATGGGGCAAGGGCAGCAGCAGAGGCCCAGCACCCTGTAGACCGTCCCCAGGCTGCACGGGGGCTCTGATACTAGGGCAGGGGTCTCAAGGGGTGGGAATTCCAGCTGAGAACTGGTGGGACACCAACAGAAAGTGGTTCCCAGCTTAGGGTCCTCAGCTGGGACCCTAACCTTCTGCCTGTGCTGCCTTAACCTTCTGTGTGTGATCTCACACCACCACCACAACCTTTAACTCAGATGAAAAACAGTCTTTAAAAATAGCAAGAGCTGAAAAACGTTCTTGGAGTCAAACTCTGCCTGGTCTGTGAAATCTCATTTATGAAACAAGGTTGCCTCATAACTAGAGTCAAACTTTCGCTGTCCCCTTTAACTCAGTCCCCTGGAGTGCAGTTCATCCCCTTCCCAACTGGGCTTGCCACCAGGGCCCAGTGCGCTCCCAACACAAACTGACTGGCAGAAGAGTGACAATTCACGTGCCATTGCTTAATTTAGGGGACTGGCGAGCCAGTCACAAGTAAAGTGACCTCTTTTAATGACCGTGACCTGGAACTGAAGTCTGAGGGGCCTAAGAAAGCCTGACACCGGACATCTGACTGAGAGGCACTATAGTAAGCTCAACATCTCAGCAGAACCTCTGATGGGGTCTGTGCCACGTTGAGCAAATATATTTTGATTCTGTGCACTGAGTGAGACACAAGATAGACCGCATCAGCAGGTCTGGGAATTATTTCTTGTCCACCAGTAATTTTATTTGTGACTGGTACAACTTTAAATACTATTACCACTAAGGAATAATAAAAGAAAAATAGAAATCTGATTTTCGAGTTTAAATTTGGAAAACAGAATGCATATTATTGCCTGCACAGATCTAAAATAAATCCTGTCTTTAGTAAAACTGGTTCTGTGCCAGGTTCTACGGTAGAGCTGACCGCAACTCTCACAGTGATTTTTCTTTCACCTTATTTTCACTTTTTTTTTTTGGTGGGACTGGGGTTTGAACTCAGGGCCTTGTGCTTGCAAAGCTTGCATTCTACCACTTAAGCCAAACCAAGAGTCTTCTTTTTTTTTTTTTTTTTTTTAATTTTTAGTTTTAATTTTTTTGGTGGCATGGGGTTTAAACTCAGGGCTTCACCCTTGCTAAGCAGGCACTCTTACCACTTGAGCCACTTCACCAGCCCTATTTTGGGTTGAGTTTTTTCGCGATAGGGACTTGCAAACTATCTGCCCAGGGCTGGCTTTGAACCATGATCCTCCTGACCTCTGCCTCCTGAGTAGCTGGGATTACAGGCGTGAGCCACAGGCACGAGCTGGTGGTGATTTCTCACCAAGGAGCCATGGAGCCTAGGGTACCAGGTGGACTCACCTCGACGCTTGCATACTTGCACATGGAGCATTTAAAGGGCTTTTCGTGAGTGTGTTTGTAACGCCTGTGCCGCACGAGCTCTCCACTGGTGACGAACGCCATGTCACAGTCCCCACACTTATATGGCCTGGTTCCTGAAAAAAAAAATCACATGGCTTACACCTTTAAAACAAGATGCACCCTCAGAAATTTCCAAAGATTTTATAACTTTTGAATTACACTCCGTTTCAAAATGCTTCAAAAATTAAGAAGCTCTTGAAATTGCAAATACCCTAAACGTGTAAATTCAGTGCTTTCAACTGAAATTCAAGAAAAAAAGGGTAAAAGTAAAGTATAAAGTAAACATGACAGTAGATCCCTTATCCTTGGAAGATATGTCCTGAGATGCTGTATGGATGCCTGAAACTGCAGGTGGCCCCAAGCCCTAGGTATAATAGGTTTTGTCCTAAACATACATACCTATGATAAAGTTTAATTTATAAGTCAGAAATTAACAGACAACAGAGAGATTAACAACTAATAAAATAGAACATAAATAATATCCTATAATAAAAGTTATTTAAACTAAAGAACTGTTTATTTTGGGGTTTTTTTTTTTTTGCAGTGTTGTGGATTGAACCCAGGGACTTGTGCACGCTAGGCAAGTGCTCTAACACAGAACTGCACCCCCAGTCTCGGGAATTTTCCCTTCGATATTTTGGACGGTGGCTGACCACAGGTAATTACCAGCATGGGTGAGGGCTCAGCGTACTCCCCAGGGGAACCACCCGCCTGCCACCTGACCTGTGTGGGTGTTGACATGGTTCCGCAGCAGAGTGACGGTGCGGAAAGCCTTCAGACAGAGGTGGCACACGTGGGGCTTCTCACTGGTGTGAGTTTTCACGTGGCGATTTAAACTGGAGATCCGGGAGGAGGTGAACATGCAGACACCGCAGCGGAAGGTGTGTTTCGTCACTGCTGCACACACACAAGACATTTGTGAGGCCTTCATGAGCAGTTCAAATTGGAGTAACCTCAGCCCAATGTGGTCACTCAGCAACAGGACACACTACGTATGTCCCCTAGCTGGTCAAGATGCGTGGCTGGGAAGAGAGGGACTGGGCGTAATGGTGTACACTTGTAATCCCAGCATGCAGGGGCCTGCAGCAGGATCATGAGTTTGAGGCCAGCCTGGGCTGCATCACAAGGCCCTGTCTCAAAAAACAACAGCAACGGGGAGGACGGAGAGGGAATCCTGAGAGCAGCAGGAGAGCAGGGACTCATCACAGACCAGGGGCACTCGAAAGAACAACAGCTGACTTGTCACTGAAGCTCTGGCAGCCAGAAGGCACTGGGACAGCAAGGTCAAAGTGCTGAAAAAAAAAATCCGTCAAATAAGAGAAGTAGGTCACTGGCAGGGCTGTTGAGGCCCAAGAGACTCCCACAGGCTGAAATGAAAAGACCCTGGAGAGTGACCTGAGTCCACACAAAGACCTAAGAGTATTCAGGCAAGTACACAGTTACTACTATAAAACCAGAAAAGACAGCAGCAGACAATAATTACAAAGTGTGTTGACAGGCACACAGGACACAATGGTGACTCCGTGACTGTGACAGCAGAAAGGGGCGGGGAGCAAAATTATAGAGGAACAAGGGTTTTAAAGTACATGACTGAAAGTAAATTGGCATTATTCTGAGGTAGACTGTTGTAAACTGAGATGCTAAATCCAATTCAAGGGCCACCACAGGGAAAAATATATACAGTTATATATATTTATAAATATTTATATATGCATAAATGATACACTAGACAGGCATAAATGGGGACTGAGGCATAAAAGAGACACGGAAACAAGGACACGTGTCCTTCCTCATCAGTGAGAAGGCTGAACTCTCCAATCGAAAGGTGGACATTTGCAGAAAGGATAAAAAACATGACCCACCCAAGTGCCTTGCACTAGAGACTCATTTTAGATTCAAAGACACAAACAGGCTGAAAGTTAATATGGAAAAAGAGAATTCCATAGAACGAGTAACCAGAAGAGGGCTGGGGAGGCTCTGCTAGTATCAAACAGTATAGACTTTAAGACAAAAACTGCCATGAAGGCAAAAAGGCATTGTACAAGGATGAGAGGGCCCATCCATCTTGGAGATATAATCACTGTAAACATATACACACCTAACAACACAGCCCCAAAACACCTGACACAAAGACGGACACAACTGAAGTAGGAACAGACAGGTCAGTAACAACTGGAGACTTCAGTACCCCACTTGAAGCAATGATGGACATCAAGATAGGCGAGCCTGCAGACAGGCTGGACATCTGCAGCCCCCGCCCCCAGAGCAGAACACGAGCCCACAGTCTCTTCAGGAAGTGTGGAAGATTCTCCAGGACAGACCGTGAAACAACGCTCAGTAAGCTAAAAAAGACAGCAATCCTGTGGACAACCATGGAACGAAACGGCAAATCAGCATCACAGGAAATGAGGAAAAGCCACGAGTGTGTGGAGGCTGAAGGACACAGCCCTGAATGACGAATGGGTCAAAGAAGAAGTCACAGGAAAACTGACGTTCTCTGAGATGAGTGAAAGTGAAACACAGACGCCAAAACTTGGGCAAGGCGCCTACAGCAGGGCTCAGAGGGAACGCGTTAGCTGTAAACACCCACGTTTTTAAAAAAGAGAAATATTTAAGATCAATAACCCAACTTTAGACCCTGAGGAGTGAGTAAAAGGAGATACAACTAAACCCAAAGTCCTAGAAGGAAATACTGACATTAGACTGGGCATAAATTAAATAGAAAACCAAGAGAGGAAATCAGCAGAAACAAGGCTGGTTCTTCGAAAGCGTCAACCTGACACACTTTTACCCAGACTCGTGACCCAGGGGAAAATGAAAACTCTCCATCAGGAAGGAGGGGGAGATGTTTCTACTCACCTAACAGAAAAAGGACTATGAGGACACCGTGAACATTTATAGATCAGCACGTTAGATAATTTAAATGAAATAGAAAATTCCTAGAAACACACAAATTATACCAAAACTAACTCAAAGAGAAACAGAAAGTCTGAGTCAACCTATAACCGTAAAGAGACTAAGTCATTAATTGAACAACTTCCAAGAAAAAGAATCCCATGGCCAGACCGCTTCACCGATTACCTCTACTGAATGCTGAGCTGTGAACAACAACCCTCAAACTCCTCAGAAAAGCCAACCTTGTCACGTGAGGTCATATTACTCTAATACCAAATCCACCCAAAGGCATCAAAAGGCAAAAAACAAGATGAACCACTATGGACCAGTAGCGCTTATGAACACTGATGCAAAAGTCTTCAACTGGTGGTTTGGAGGCTCAGCTACTTGGGAGGCAGAGACAGGGAGGATTGAGATCCAAGAGCAGCCTGGGCAAAACAGTTAGTGAGACCCCATCTCAACCACTAGGCCGAGCATGATAGTATGCTTCTGTGATCCCAGCTATGTGGGAGGTATAGGTAAGAAGATCACAGCTGAGGCCTGCCCAGGGAAACAAAAATTTTAAAGACCTTATCCAAAAAATAAAGCAAAAAAGGGTTGGGGCCTGGCTCAAGTGGTAGAGCACCTTCCTGGAAAGCACACACCTATAAAAACATTAAATATGGAGTAACCATACAATCCAGCAATTCTGCTCCTCAGTGTATACCCTCAAAACTGAAAACAGATGTTCAAACAAGAATTTGCGCATGAGTGGTTACAGTGGCACATACAAATGGTATGTCCATACAGTGGAATATTATGTAGTCATTAAAAATGAAGCAGTACTACATGTCTAGCATGGATAGATGTTAAACTTTGCTAAGTGAGAGAATACTGATATAGAAGGCCAGGGGTGTATGTGTCTGATTCCATTCACATTAAATGTCCAGAACAGGACAATCTAGAGACAAATAGTAGACTGGCGGTTGCTAGAACCTGGAAGCCAGGAGTGGACAGTGACTGACAATGAGCAGAGGTTTTTTTGGGGGTGACAAAAACGTTCTAGAATTACAGTGGTGACCAATGCACAAAACTGCAAATGTTCTAAAAGTCTGAAAATAAGCTAGAGATTGGAAATTTGGGGGTACATCTCTCGATTAAATAGACGAAGCTAACGTAAAGTAGGAGCTGTAAATTCCATCTCCAGGTATCACGGCAGGAGACCTAAGGGGAGGAGGGATGACCATGTGGCTGGCCACAGCTGTCCCTTCCACACTGAGCCACCTGTTGCCAGGAGGGAGGGAGCAGTGGCCAATGTTCCCAGGTTTTTAAGGTGAGCTAAAAACTCACCTTCTTGATAAACAACTGAGAAACTAACATTTCTAAAAAAGAAGTTGTTTTTGAGGGTCAAATTCATCCTGAGGGCTGCTGGAAAGCAGCTGCACTGTGATTTCGGTGGCATGTCTCAGTCCTCCGAGGACCTTCTGCCTCTGATCACCATCCCCAGGGACTCTCCCCACAGAGCCATCTGTACCCACAGGCAGAACACGCACTTCCTGCAGCCTGGAGCCAGGACCCTGATCTTAGGGCATCCCAGGCCTCCTCCTGGCCTCCCACTGGAGGCTTTGCTGCTCCTGGGCCTGGAGCCTTGCTCTGCCCTCTCTCCTGGTGGGCAGGGCTCATCACCTGAACTGTGCTTATCTGCCCCCCTTCCAACACTCCCCGGGCTGCAAAGGAGAGGGCAGGGACCAGGGCCTAGCCTTCTTTTATGCACACAAGACTTTGTGGAATATTTTTTTACTGTGCTTTTAAAACGGTTGTGTGCAAAATGCAAAACCCACTGGGTTTTTTTCACAGTTCAGAACATTGGTTGTACATTTCCCCTAGTTCTGGATGTTCCGAAAGCAACTAAAAGTCAACCACTTAAAACTTCAATGACAACTGCTTCCACAAAGAGCAACAGCAGCGGCTTGGACAGCCCTACCTGCTGGCTTCCTCTGAGTGTCCACAACTTCAGCTTTCTCCACGCTCGCCGGCTTCCCTTGAGGCTCTTCCACGTTCAGGTTGGAAATTGTGAGAACGACCTCCTCTCTTCCCCCTTCTCCTGGCTGCCGAGCCTCTACCAGGAAGAACTGTTCTCCTGCTCTCTCAGCCAGTCCCCTGCCAGGCCGCAGGTCCTCCTGAGCGTCCTCAAGCTAACCGCAAAAAATGAGTATTCACACAAACACAGCACTATTAATGACTATCGCAGTAAACTTGTCTTGAGAATTACCAAATATATAAAGAAGAGTAAAAAAAAATTTACACTATGCATTGCAGGGCTGAGGGCGTGGCTCACGTGGGGGTTCAGTGCCTGCCTTGCAAGCGCACAGCCCAGAGCTCAAACACCAGGACTGCCACAAATAAAATAATAATAGTAGTAAAATATTATGCATCACAACCCAATTTGTAAGCCATCATTACTTAACACTAGGGTTTTGGAGATGAAACATAAAACACCATGCACCTTACAGGATTCCAGTCAGTGTAAATTTTAAAACTCTTGTTTTTTAAAATAAAGGTCTCCCATGGTTTTCCTGGCACGTTTTGGTTTTGTTTTGTTTGTGGGACTGGTTTTTGAACTCAGGGCTTCATGCTGGCAAAGCCTGCACGTTACCACTTGAGCCACACCTCCAATCCATTTTGCTCTGGTTATTTTGGAGATAGGGGGAGTCTCATGAACTATTTGCCTGGCCTCCAACCACAATCCTCCTGATCTTAGCCTAAGCCTCAGCATAAGCCGTGGGCACCCATGGTAAGTATTTTAACTGTGTTTAATTTTAAACTGCAAAGTAGCTTGTCCATATGTAATACTGCACAAAAGCCAATTTAAAAATAGTTTTATTTTTGCTTTTGTGGACAGAAAGGGGGTTCCTGCTTCAACTAGTGGTACCTTAGTCAACACGGGGCTTTCAGCCAGGCTCCCGGCTAACTCAGGGCCCTCATTGCTCACAGTCACTGTCACGTTCTCCTCCAGCAGGTGGAACTGCATCACCTCTAGCCCGGGCAGCGGGTACAGCTGCTCCTGGACACTGATGGCCACGCACGGCTGCACACCCTGTGGAGCCTCCTGGCTAAGCCACAGCAGCGATGGGACCACCCTCTCGCCCTCCTGCACCATCACTGGCACCTCCTGGGGGTGCGATGCGCCCAGCCAGCCCAGCTCCTGCAGCCCCATGTCTGGGGAGGTAAGGTGCACGGCCTGTAGGGTCAGAATGTGCTTCTCGCCCTCGGGGACCGGCAGCAGCTCCTGCTGTCCTTCCAAGGGCCTGGCCTGGAGGGTGGTGTGGCTGCCCCTGGCCTCCACCTCGCCAGGGCTGGGATGGTTCTGTCCTCTCCGCAACCCGTTCTCCTCTCTCTGCACCTCCAGGCCTTTTGTGGGCACTAACTCCAGCTCTTTGATTTTGGTGAATTGCTCAGAAGGGATGGGGTCCTTGGTGGCTGCCATGGTGGTGTGGCCTGATGGAGAGAGAAGCAAGCAATCTTCAGTAGGGCACAGAGGAACCGGGGCTTAGCAGGCTTGGGGGTGACCAAGCTGGAAAAGGTTCTTGCCTGGAAAGGCTCTGAGCCTGGTAGGGTCAAACTATGCTGATGAGGCCTCGGCCTGGCCTCGGAGGGGTCAATTGTAGTGGGGATTTAGGCCTAAACAGGCTATTGTCCGACATTCTAGAACAAAAGGTTTGCACTAGCAGGTTAAGGGCTGGTGCATGTTCTGCCTGCCCAGGTGCAGACTTGGCGGTCAATGCACAGTGTCCTGCACCGGCGTTCCACCGTGCACAGCTCTGGGCCTGCACCGTGGAGCCAGGCAGGCTCTGGGCCTCGTGGCCTCTGGCACCCCTGATAAAACCATGCCTCAGGTCCGCCATGTGCACCTGCTCTGGGCGTGGCGGTGCCGTGCGCACGCCCGCCTTCCCCGCTGCCTTCCACCGCCATAGCCCGGACCCTCCCCACCCCACGTCCATGCGAGCAGCCTGTGGCCTGCAGGAGGCCACAAGTCCACCCGGGGCGTCCTCACCGCCGGAGGCGTGGCCGGGGCACAGCCGCCCGCGCGTCCGCGTGGTCCGCCTCGTGCTTCGTGCGCTGCAGCCGCCACCAAGGAGAGCGCAGTGCGCAGGCGCGCGCGGGAAAGGGGCGGAGACTGGAGAGGTTGGAGGGGACGGGGCATGGGGGAAGAGATCGAGAGGGCGCAGGGCCCAGAAGGGGGCGCTGGAGCCGGGGCTGGGGGATGGATGTAGAGGGGCGCTGGGGGTCCTGGTTGGGGGGATGGATGATGGTGAGGAGGGGGAGCAGGGCTCGAAGGGCGCGCTGGAGTCCTGGGGGTGGAGTGGGGTGGACGATGGATAAGGAGAGAGAGGAGCTGCTGGAAGTGGGCACTGGAGTCCGTGGGGAGGATGGATAAAGAGGGGGAGAGGAGCCCAGAAGGGGGCGGTGAGGGCTGGTGGTGAGTGAGGGCGGGAAGTTAGGGATGGGGGGGGAGGCTGGGGAGACCTGCGCATCCCTGGGTAGGGTGTGGGCTAAGGAGGGAGGGGGACACGCGGCGGTGTGAGGAGAACCCACCGATGACCCCAGGACACGTGGGGGCGCCAGGTGGGAAAAGCAGGAGGCCGGAGGGCGGCGGGTGCTGCGCGGAGAAGGGGCGCAGGTGCCTGGGCGGTGGCGGCAGAGGCGGGGCTGGAGCTCTCCACGCCCTCCACCTTTCCACTTCGCAAAAATCTCTCCAGAAACGTCTCGCGTGGGCAAGTGGGAGGCGGGGAGAAAGAGGAGAGAGAAGCGTGGGCGGAGAGCCGAAGACTCAGAAGTAGGAGACGTTAAGGATCGTGTGTAGGACTGGGAGTGGAGCCCTGGGGTCCAGCCCTAGTACCAGAAGAAAAATTATGTGTGCATTTCACCTCAGTAAGTCATTTAATGAAATTAATCATTTTGATGGTCTCCAGAAAAAGTTGGAGTCATACTTCAACTAGATAAAAATGAAATGCATGTCTGGAGCCAACAGGTGAATAAAATAATTTGCAGTTTTATCGATTTAAGGGGAAAGGTATGGTTTACAACGTCCCAAATTTATAACATTTCGACATTTTAATGACATTTTTCTTGTTTGCTGGTTGTGAATAAATATATTCATATGACTGGACAAAAGTCAAAGGAGAAAGCAGAATTTGGGGGACTGTGTCCAAAACTACCTGAGAAGTGACCTGAGTGGCTTCCATTTAAACTTATCTTCCAACAGCCAGGCGTGGAGCGTCCTCCATCCTCTGCCAGGCAGTTTTCTGTGTCCAGGACAAGTGCTTTCTGTGTCAGCCCATTCTGCCCACCCTTCTCTTAGCTCTTTGTATCTTACTTGCATCGTACATACTTAGAAGATTTTTTTTCGTTTCCAGTAGTACAAAGGATAGAACTAAATTCAGTTTTAAAAGAAACTCACATGCCAGCAGTAATGGATTTGTGAGTTAGGCTCTTGGATGGGAAGTTTCAGCACCGTGTCTGAGGTTTCTATCACAGTACATGTGCTGTATGGGGAAGAGAAATATCTGAAGGTCGCTGGGAGAATAGTGTGTTATAATAACTTCTTTTAAATCATTTAAATGGGTTTTTCTGCTTCAACAATCACCTATTCACGAGCAATTTTGCTTTATTGTTGCAACACTCACAGAGCTAGAAAGATTTTTTTCAGGACTTACAGATTCATGTTTAGAAATTTCAAAAACTAATTAAAAGCACATTTTAAAAAAAAAGACCTAAGGCCAGTGTGTGGGAAAATATGGGAAGGGGAAACTGAGTTTGACTTGGAGGGGAAAGTGGGAATTTTAGAAGAGAATAAATAAAGACAGAGAGACAAGCTTGCAAGAGGCCCAGAAGGGCTGCAGAGGAATCAGCGATGGCCCCCAGTGTTCAGATTTTGCTTCCCTGCCTGGGTGGCCCTGTGTTCCTGGAGAAGATGATATTGTGTGGGGAGGGATACACCTTCCTGATGACAGGCCCAGGCAGCTCAGGAGCCCGTACTAGAAAATAGCTGTGACCCTATTTGCACGTGAGAGCAGAGCCATGTGAGATGTTCCATGTCTGCTTTGTAGATGAAGGTAAACCATGAGGCCGAGTTGTCTGCATGAGGTTTAAGACGGAAACATGAAGTCCTGGCCCACAGCCTCCCTTACTGCTCAGACTGGTTCAGTCCCTCCTTGGTCTCCTCAGGCTCCTTTCCACCATTGCTCCCACAATGCCCTGTCCTGCTCCATGCAGACACCTCTCCCAAGTGTCCCCTGTGGTTTAAGTGGTCACACACAGTAAATATAAAACCCCTTTGAAAGACAGTGCCCGCCGGCACAGCAGTGGGTAAGAACTGGTGGTCTTTAAAAGACATTCCCAGTCTGCTCCCTGCTTCCAGAGTAAGTGCCACCAAGAGTCATCACTTAATGTTTTCCTGGCCTGCTGGCTCGGGTGTAAAATCTTTATGAGCCATTTGGCAAGCACTGAAACAGTTGAGGTTCCCAAGAGAGAAAGGAACTGGTGGTTACGTGTTTCTTGTTTATTGCCAAAAGAAAGTGATATATAAAATATTTTTATTTAATATCTCTATGGTATAGACAGTTAATATACATTTATATCTTAACATCTACTCTAATGAGATATCAGACATGTTTACATATGACGAGCATCATACATATTTGTGGTTCCCCTCTCTGAGTGTGTGATGGCGTGGGGGGAGCAGGAATCTCTGTCAGCTTTGCTGACTCTATCCAGAGGACTGGGACAGGGCTCTTGACAGCTGTTGGTGGAGCAGCTTAGGGCTGGTGTCAACTGTTCCTTAGCTGCACTTTCTCAGTGCCTGGCCACACAGTGGGATATGGTTGTTTGCATAGCCTGTGACCTCAAGGTACAGAAGAATCATGGTGGGTTTGTTCTTCATACCCTGCAGTGATATTTACCTGAACCATTTAGTGACGTCTCTGACCTCTTCAAGTTGTTTTTGGCGGTACTGAAGTTTGAACTCAGGGCTTTGTGCTTGCTTGGCAGGTGCTCTACCGCTTGAGCCATGCCCCCAGCCCTCTGACCTCTTGGTTTTAAGAAACTTTGATGAGTTTTTTACTCTGACAGTTGTTCATTCACACAGTAGGTATTTAGTTTATAAATACTGAGGTCTGTGCTGCTGGGAAACAGTGCACAGAGAAGGCCTTTCTGAACTGTGGTCTGGCACCCAACACTTCCAACTTGGATGCTATGGGTGTCATTTCCCAAGATGCATTGTGCATATGCGTTAAGGTGCAGAGAATTCACCACACCAGGCCAGGAGGGAGCTCTTCTAAGACTCTGAGATGTGTTAACCTGGCCGTGCTCTGCTTGGGTCTATGGAAAGATCTGGAACATCACTAAGTACTTTGTCAGATATCAGAGTTGGACATTAGACACCCAGGTTTTCTTCTGCGTGATTGGTTGTTTCTGTATTGATGTTTTTATCACTTTGAAGGTGGAGTAGCAACTGGCATGGAAACTATTATTTAATCCACTCTTACATGAAAGTTTGGTTCCTTTGTGTTATGAAGATAATTTGTACCAAAAAAGTAAATAGATAGTTCAGCTTGATTTTGCTCCAGATGTTCCTGGCTCACTGTGATTTTTTGACCAATGCGTTGCACGGGAGTGTCCATTTTGGACCGTGTTGGGTAGCCTGTTGGGTAAGCTTTGTTTTTATACAGATCATTATACTTTGAACTTTGATATGAACCAGGAGGGAATGTACTTTGATTAAACAAGCGGTGCAGCATTGCTCTTGGACTTGGTCACCAGGTGGGGAGTTTGGGGACAAAATGAGTGACAGGAGAGGATTCTTAAAACTGGGACGTTCACAGGAGGACTTGAAGAGCAAAAGAATGGGTACTGACGGTTAGGTAAGAGTGTACCAGGTGTTCCAGAACCTTATCATTAAAATCTCTCTGCCCTGCTTACAGAAGTACTTGGTAAATGAATAAAAGCTTTGTTACATTCAGTCTAATTATGTGAAGTCTGAAAGGAAGTGTCAAGGGACAGTCTTGAAAGGACTCCTCCAGCCCATGAATAGTGGCTAATTTGGGTGGTGGACTCAACGTGAAGACTACTTTTTTTCCCTTTGCACAATTTCTTTAAATAGTATTCAGAAAAGGGGGGGATAAATATCTGAACTGGGAAGATTATTTTGGATTATTCAGGTGGGCCTGTGTCATCGAAAGGAACTTATTACCAGGAAATGATAGGGTGAAAGCCATGAGAAGATGTGGCCAAGGAAGCAGAGGCAGAAATTGGAAGAGAAGGTGCTGCCAGCTTTGAGCACGGAGGAGGGTGGCGATAGCCAAGGAAAGGAGGCAGCGTCTAGAAGCCAGATAAGACAAAGAAAGGGACTGTCTCCTGGAGCCTCCAGAAAGGGCATAGCTCTGCTGACACATTTTACACTTTGTTTTTTTTTCATTTTTCTTTTAT